GCAAGGAAATCTCTTTTTCAGATTGGGCTTTCCAGAGACAAATGTGTTACTGTCACCAGAAAGGTGTCAGATCACCTGGATTTGTTTTGGTTAAGAAGTCTTGGTCTCTTGGTTCATGGACATGACCCAGGAGCCAAATCACTCGAGATGAAATTGGTTCTCACTGCTGCCATTTCTGAGTGACTTGAGCAGTGACACAATTGCTGACACTGCTTTAGGTGCTGTAAATGAGGTTTCAGAGAACCTTGGAGCCCCAGCGTGGTCTGAGATTTGTGGAAGTTCACAGTGGCTCACACCCACCTTTCTGCAATGCTGGCATGGAGCTTTTGGTACAGTTAGTCAGGGTGGAAATTCCGGCTGTTTCCAACAGCCCAGTTTCCACAAGCCTTGAGGGTGGAAGGGGCTTAATTGAAACAGAACTGTTTTCCTCAAGTCCCAGAGCTGCCACATTTCACTGCCCAGCTGCTCACTTGGATGAGGAAGAAATAGAAAGGAGCCAGATTCATGGAAAATCATGGTGGGCCATGATCTGCAGAATTAACAAAAAAAAGTCATCTGCTTACCAGGAGCCAGTCCCCTACAATACTGCAAATTTGATCCTGGGGGAAAGCTGCTGGAGAAAAGAGTAAAAATTTCAGGGAGACTGTGCTGCTTGACAAAGAATTCATTTGGTGCTAATGGTTCTGCTTCTTGCAACAACTGAACCACGCTCCCAAAAGGCAGTGCATGAGCAGACAGGAACAATAAAGTGATTTGTTCTCAGGAAGGATTCAAGCTCTGCCAACAGTCAGCCGGATCCAGGCAAGGGCTCGGACACAGGCCGGCACACGGCAGCCCAAATGAGGAACTCTATCACTTGGCACACAGCTGCTGTTTCCAGCTCTTTCATCCCATCCTCACTCCAGCTTGATTTTTTCACTCTTCAGAGGAGGAGAACTAAATCTGGATCTACAAAGGCCAGAATTTTTCCTTGAGATCAGTAGAAGGAGGTGTCCTTGAACTCCTAAAATCCCTCTGCAGGTGGTCTGATTGTCAAATGGCCTCAGCATTTGTAACTGTCAGTTACAGCCCAATATAAAAGGCACCTTAAACATCTACAGAATAAACCTTATTGTTTCAGGTATCTGCTACTTTTTATTTGTCCTGTTCATTTGGTTACTCAGAAGAATTAGCTCTCAGCATTATTAAAGGAAAAACAAATAAAATGAAGTAACACTTTAAAAGTCTTTTAAGATGAAAGCCAGCAAGGCATATTGAAAACCATTTTTGAAATTAAAAGCAGTCCTAGGTCACTCGCATGCAGAGTGAACAAAATAATTGACACTCCCAAACCTGTTGCCTTAAAATTATATCAGAATAGGACTTGAAGAAGATAAGAACAAACCATTAAAGTTGTCACCTGGATTTCTTACTGCTTATGTGAAGCATTCTCACTTTCACTGCCATCAATTACTGCCCTAGTTTCTTGGAAACTTGGACCATATGCCAAGGACTGCTGACAGAACTTGTACAGAAAGGAGGACATGTTCCAGAAAGTTATTAGATGTCCCAGGGTGTGCCACTGAGCCTGCTGCTCGGAGAGCACCAGGTCCTCAAAAAATGGAAATTTGGATCATGATGCTGTTACTGAATACAATGTCACTGCGGGGCAGAAAGCAGCCTGGAGATGGGAGGAAACCTGCTTTGAAATGTTGGATCCCAACTCCTGACAAGATGTCAGGCTACAGAATTACAGGTCTGATAACATAGTAGGAGAATGACATTCTGCACCCAGAAGTTGGTTTCTTTTTGAAATCCATTAGCAGCAGATTGCCACAGCTTGGCCAGAACAGTCTGGTCTTAGTCTGTTGTGTTTGTCTTGAAACATCTTGCTATTTCTCACCTGTCAATGAACTCCCAAGAGTCTCCCTCCTTTCACAATTTCTATGAATAGGTTGGAAAAGTGCAGCCTAGCCCAGAAAAGTCCACGTGGCTCAGTCACAGAGGTATTTTGGCACTGGGTTCCCACAGGATCAGAGGAGGTTTGCAAGGCTGTAATTATATATATCCTCTCTGCTTGCCATGCCCACACACCTCCCCGGGCTCAGGGGCCCACACAGCACAGGAGGGGTCCGGGGTGCCTGGCAGGGCTCACACGCTCCTTCCTTGGATCCAAGCAAGGAGCACCCCCCAACTCCCCCACATTTCCTCTCCTGGGAAAGTGCTTGTTCCAATATTCAGTCAGACTGCAAGCAAGGGTGAGGATGGTCCAGGAGGTTCTGTCTCAAAGATAAATTCAGCCCCTAGCTAAACAGCAAGTCTGATAAACACCTGCAAGGAAGGCAGCGTGTTTGCTTTTTGACTACCACCACACCAAGATGTGCATGAACACCATGCAGAGCTCCTTACCTCTGCACTGCCATCTCCACCATGATTTATAAAGATTAGTGAAACTTTGTTTTAATGAAACTTTGTTTAAAGGGACAACTCAAAGCCAAACCAAACAACCACTGTCCCTCCCAATCACAGCAATATTTTCCCTCCAGAGAACTGCCTTGCTTGTCTTCCCTTACACACTTAAATTGTACAACAAATAACACTTCTGACACCAACCCAGTGTAGCTGGTGGCATCCCACATGCCTGGGCTCTTCTCATGAGTGACCACAAACAATGAGTGGTTCACGCCTGCTTTGCAACACTTCTGAGTAAACACCATTACCTGTGCAGAGGCAGGCCAGGCTGAACTGAAGGGAGCTGGGTTTCCCACATAGATGGAGATAAAAACTGCTGGGGACAGAATTTGTCAATAATAAACCAGAGTGAATAAAGAAATTCATACAAAAAAGTTGCATGACCCCCAAACCAAATATATCAGAAAGAGAAAGAAGAAAAAAAAAAAAAACCTTTAGGAGCATTTTTATTTAGTCATGGAAAGATAATTTTAAAGCACTCATACAGAATGAGCCCTCTATGCAAACTTCAGTAGGCTTACACAGACTCAAATAACACTCTGCATAAACAAAATGACACTGAATGTACAGCAGTTACATCCAAACCACATGGTAGCACCACTTAGGACTTTGGTCCCGGAAAAACTTTCCTTGCAGATCTGTGTATCTATCGTTTGCAATAATTTTATTGGCTCTTTGTTGAAGAAATTACAGCCACTCTAAGTGCAATCACACCCCTCCCACCGGGGCAGCAATTTCCACTGCTCCTGTTATGAATTCCCCAGGAGGGTGTTGAATCTAGCAGCTTCCTCTTTGTGGCACATGCAGAATTCACCCAACAACTTTTCAGAGTGAGGTGCTGAATTTGCTATGTGCGTGCTACTGACCTCCATTCAGGGACCCTTCCACCCCAAAGAGTGGAGACCCATGAACAAAGGCAGAATTGACATTTTTTATTGGCTTCAAATCTCCTGACTGCCATCACAGGGGCTTTTTTGTGAAGATAGAGGAAAGGAGGACATGTTACTTCCTCAGCCTCTCAAATCACTGTTCAGCTGATAACTTATTTCTAAGCACATCAATAGTTTCTCTCAGGTATTTGGAAAATTAGGATTCTCATGCATTAATATAAAAATAGTCTTGGATTTCAAACTCCATACACAGCTAAGAGAACATGGGAAAATACACATATAGAGTTCTGCATTGCAACAGGCCTGAGCAAGAAACACACAAGCACACGCAGTTGGTTCCTTTCAGTCCAACTCAGCAAAATGCATTTTGGTTTTCCTGAATCTTGATCTGCTGGAGCAGCTGCCACACCTACCAACCACCTTGGGGTGTCTGGCAAGGGGTGGTGAAGTTTTACCTCAACTCATAAAATCAGTGAGGTTTTGGGGTTGTTGTTCCCCATCCAAAAAAAAAAAAACCAAACATTAGTCTGCTCTCAACACTTTTCAAAAGCTGCTCTCCATCTTACACAATCAGATCCAGCATGAACATAGCATAGATCCAACATGAAACACAGCACAGCTGTAAGATAAATAAAACTCAGTTACTGGAGCATTCTGTTATTCATGTATGCAAATGAACTGCTTAGCACTTCATTCACAACTGGCTGTTGATGTTACAGTGCTGGAAAAAACCCAGAATTTCAGAGGAAATTCTGCCTACCCTGGAAAGCCACGAGGTGAACTTTTATGGCTGTTTTCCATTACTGCCTTTTTGGGAACCAGAGGACATTTTCCCATTAGCTGTGTTTATCAGCTCTGAGAGGAGGCAGATGAATCTGAGCACAAGTCAGAGATTTTCTGTGACTCCTTTGTCTGGCATGGGGATCTGTGTGACAGAGGCCAGCAAGTGTCTGTAGTCACTTCATGTCCTGAGTAGTTTGGGAGCTAAAGCAACACCCAGTACTCTGCCTGCTTGGTGTTAGGTCCGTGCTACTGAGTAGTAAATGGTAACTTCCACATTAATTCACTGGATTTTAAGCTACAGGAGGTCTTGACTCCTACAAAACACCTCCATTCTGATTTAATCTCTATCCAAAGGGGTTTCCTGAACTTGTGTGGGAGCCCTTTCTGCCAACATTTGACACAACATCACTGATCTCAGTGGGTCTGAAGCAACAACATCAGGGGCCTTGGCTCTTGAGCTGCCACCACAGAGCAAGAGGCCCAATTCCACATCTTGTCAGAAGCACAAAGCTTTCTTCTGGCTCTACAGAAATGGCTTTACAACTCTTTACTTTAGGGGAAGGCACTGTCACTACAGCAGTTGCTTTACCTTTCAGGCTGTGTTCCACCTGTTTGCTCTCCAAAACCAAAGCCTTACCTTCCCCATTTTCATACTCATTCAAACATTTGTTTCTGAAGTCGGACTATGGCAAATACACTGACAGCTTTTTGTACATCTCTGCCTCAGCAGCAGCCAAATCCCAATGTAAACTGCATTTATGTGTCCTAGCAGCTGTCATATGAAGGGGTGCTACTGAAAAGCCAACCCCCAGTGAAGACTTCAGTGTTTCCTGGTCACTGTTACTGGTGAGAGAAAGAACAACAAACAGCACTAGCTTTGTAATTCACTGGCAGAACTAACTACTGCTTTTTATTTAGTGGAAGGATTCCTGATCTCTCTTGCCTAGCCAGCACTTCACATGCACCAAAGACCAGCACGAATTCCATAAAGACATAAAGAGTCATTGCTCTGAAATGAAGAACATAAAAAAAAACAACAAACACCAAAGAAGATTGAGCACAGTTACATGTAAAGAGAAAGTTGCTTCTGATCTGTTCACATTCTCATGGTTTCTTCTATGAATGAAGAAGCAAAGCTCTTCATTCCAGAAAAAAAAAAAAAAAAGATTTTTCATTCCACAGATGTTAAACAGTAGAATTAACAAAAAAATGCAGAAAGAAGTAATAGGAGTAATTGCTGCAGATAAAGACCTCAGAGGGGAGCATGGATGCTGCCTTGGGCACTGTAACAGTGTTTTTCATCTGCTACAGGTCAACCAGAAGTTGATAAAATACCTCCTCTTCAGGGTCAGGAAGATCTCACCCCACACAGGACTGCTCTGGGCTGGAAGGCTCTGCACATGTGGCAGTCACTGTCCCTCTTCACACAGTTCCTTTGAACACAGATACCTCCCAACCCAGTCACACAGGCAGAATTCTAAAAAAGCAATTGGCAGGCTGCTTCAGCAGGCAATAAGTAAAAAATACAGTTTATTGGTAAAACTCCTAGGCTGAGCCTACATTCTGTTTCCAAAGGTCATTTACACTGACACAGAAGGCAGAGAGCAAGAGTTTCTTCTCAAGGTGGCAATGTCACTTTAGAGTAAACAATCAGAAAATATCCATCTCCCATGTCAGTCCTGGGCTGCTGCTGAGACCTCGAATTCTAATAAGAAGGCCCTTGTCTTAGCCGGTTTTAGAGGCCACAGACACATCCCATCAGATAATCCCCAATCCCTGTGCAAGGCTGCAGTGTCAACAACCTCACTCTCCTCTGCAGGTCACCAGTAAAGCTCATTACAGGAAGCTGGCTCTGTCCTTCAGCAATGTGACAGGTGATTCTCGAGGAAAGGAACTGTTCTCACTTCCTGTAGGACTGGCTGCCTGCAGAAAAACATCGAGAAAGGGTCTGTCAGCTGAAAGCAGGATTTATTTACAAGACAGAAGCTGCCTGAGGGCAATGCTTGTTCAACTTGTACCGGGACACAAACATCACAAAAAACATGCAGAAAGGCACTTTAACTCCTGATGCTGCCACTCAAAACTGCAGAATGCATTTATGGCAACCCCTTTTCAGGGGATATTGAAAGAACTGAAAGGGCATCACCAGGGCCCAGCTGCACTCCTGACAAAAAACATTCCCCATTCTTCTGGCAGAGATTTTTGTCCTGCCCTAGCTGCAAAGTGCCTGAGGCAGAACTTGGTACACTGCAAACAGCTTCAGCACACCCATGCAGAGTTGCCTGAACAGACAGAGAATAAGGATCAGAGTGGATTAAACCACACAACCATGTCCACGTGGAGCACGGTTGAAAAGGTCTAAATTTGGAGGTGCCTGTGCTCCCTGTGGAGCTCTATTTTCCAGCCATGCTGCCAGTGTCATCCCTGTGCCAGCTTGGAAGTGGAAATCACAGAGGATCCTAGCATGGCCGATTTTATTTGGAGGAGCTTGCTTTTGCTGTAGAGTTCAGCTAACAGCAGGGGCTGCATCTCAGGCAGGAATCTGGCCCCAGGCCTGTAGCTGCACTGAGTACCTGGGCTTCCTCTGCATTCCTCAGGCATTCCACACACTCCATGCTCCAAGAGGAGCAGTCCAGCTAGTTCAGGTAGGTTTACATAAAATCAACTTGCTTCCAGAAAATACACCTGTAATAAATACTAAAATCAAGCTAAAAATGTGCCTCTAAAATAAGTAAATGCAGCAAGTAAAATCAGAAAGTAATCTTTTTATCATCATGTCCATCAGCTATAAAAACTTGCATTTCTTCAGAAATACTAAGAAATCCACAAATTAGTCTTCCACTGGAACAGTCTCTTGAAATGTAAAATCCTACATACCTATGCTGCAGGCAAATGGGCAAATGGGAGGCAGCAGCTGCTGGAATCTACCGATTGCTGGTATCTGTGCATCTGATACCATTTTTGACCTACAGATGAGTCAGCTAGGAAATTAAAGGAGCAGTAAGCACAGAGCTTTACCAGGGATATAGTAGGGGATCACTTGCTTCAGACCTCTTCCCTGCATTTTTAAGTAACAGTTGAGAATTACCCTTGAGAACCTCAAGTTTCAGGTGCTTAAAACCCTTTTTGGTCTTTTAAAAGTCTGGTAAGCACAGAGCTTTACCAGGGATATAGTAGGGGATCACTTGCTTCAGACCTCTTCCCTGCATTTTTAAGTAACAGTTGAGAATTACCCTTGAGAACCTCAAGTTTCAGGTGCTTAAAACCCTTTTTAGTCTTTTAAAAGTCCTTACAACTTTCATGTAACTTTTGCTACCTATAAAGACCTGTGTGAAAGTCCCTGCAGGATGGACAAGAGCTAATTGGTGCTCTGTGACAGCAGACAAGAAGGCTGGATACATGTACACAGAGTGAGTTGTTTGCAAAATAATTTATTTGCTATTTTTAGCAGGAAGACCTTAACATTTAATTGCTGACACTGTCTCGTGGCACATGTGGACAGACAGAAAATGATAACCTGGATTCCCAAGCAAAAAATTGGGAGAAATGGTAAATGGACCATAGCAAGTTGGGATGCCTGTTATACATTCAGCATACATTCCCAGCAAAGAGAAGAAGTATAGTGTAAAACAAATAAAACAATAAAAGTTGGAAGAGCTCAAGTATCTGGACTAACAGATCACATATACTGAATCCACAGAGAACCCCAAGTGATCTACTTTAGAGCAATTTAAAAATAAAATACTTTTCACAGTGTGCCACTGGAAAAGGATCTTGCTCCAGAGCCTCCTGAAAGCAACACTGCTGTCACATCTTTCCTAGGACACTCTCCCCAGGAGTGTAAAGCTGCCCTGGAGAAACTAGAACAGGCAGAAGATTTTTTGTGCACACACACGCACTCTGTACTTTTCCTTCCTTCACTAGGGCTTCTTTTCAATGGGGCAATGCTTTTGGAAATGAACTGAAACAGGAACCAGGGACAGATTCTTGGGTGTTAACACCAATTCCAGCCAGGGCAGAACAGTGCTGCTGTCACAGGAAACAGAGAGCACTCATGTCAGAGGTAAACCTCGGGGCACATGCAGCAAAGGTAAAGCTGAAAGAGCTGCATTACCTCAGCACAGGAGTGTTGAAGCAAGGAGCCTCCAGGTCAAAACCAGGAACATTCCCTTCCAATGCCTCACCTGTACTCCCTGAACGAAACCACACCACTTCTCTGCATGTGCAACTGTGTGGAACAACGAATGAGCAACACAGAAGGCTCAGAATGCTCTTTCCAGCTCGTTTACAGGGTTATTCAAATTATCTTCATTTCATTTTCTGACTCTGTAATGAGTAGCTAATGATATACACACATTTCGAGTTTCTTGGGAAGGTATTGACTTGTTATGTTTTTGTCAAATGTTTCAAGGTAACAGTTACAGCTAAAGAATAGAGCTAATGTTGCATTGTGATCAAATAATCATCACTCAACTTGTTATGAGGCCATTCTCCTGCCATTTTCACTGATGATGGACATAGAGTTGTATTTGAATTCAGCTTTTCCTATCCACAAGACTGAGAAAAAGTTTGTTCATTACTGAAGAATGCACCTTTCTTCACCCTTCACCCCAAAAATCTCCACAGCTGACACACCACACATGTTTACTGATGTGTGAGCATCCAAGATCAATTTTTCCTCTGTACTGAGCTTGTGTTGCCTGGCTCAAAGCAAGTGCCCATCATTTTCCTCCATCCTCAAGTCAAAGCCATCCTTTCTTCTGAACCACCTACAGATGAAATACTTTTTATAAACTTCTGCAGGCCACAGCATGGCCACGTGGCTCTTGAGTACCAGTCTCTAGCAGAAAGGAGACAGTGTGCTTGGCTCCCTGCTTACCAAGCTGCCCTGAGCCATCACCTGAGCTGCCTGACATCTGCTCTACATTCAGCTGCAGTGTAGACACACTCAGAGATCTGACTTCAAGTTACACAGTGGGATGAACAAGTCTCTAAAGAAAAGGAAAAACTTTTATGACGTCTAGAGAAGGTCTAATCTGAGACTCATAAGCTTCCCCAAAAACTTCTGGGAATTTGGGTCACTTTTCTCCACCCAGAGACAGGAAAAAGCATGTCTTTTAACTGCTCACAAGACAGCCTGGAAATAGGAGCAAGTGTTCAGCAGGATATAATTACATGGTTGCACATCCTGCAGATGACAAGCACAATGTCATATACTCCTGGCACATTTGCAGCCTACTACTTCATTCCTGAAGAGTTTCTACAATGCTCCCTCCTTTCCCACCCAAGGAATGACAAACAGAACAATGACATTTTCCACTTACTCTGTCTACTCCTTGTAGATCCTGAGGGGCTTGGATGGCTTGATTGTTGGGGTCCAGACTGAGAGAACTGGGGGGCAATGGCTGGGACCTTTCCCTTCCTAGGACTGCTGCTCTGGCCGTCAGGAGTGCGAGGGATCTTAGGTTTGCTGGTGAAGGCTAGGGCAAAGTCGCTGGAGGAGGAGAGGGAAAGGGTAAGCAATCCATGGAGAAACACGTATGCATAGTCAGTCTGCAACCAAGTGAAACCTGAAGTACGAGCTGTGACAGCCTGGCAGGTGCTCAAACCTCAGGAAGCTGCAAATGGAAAGGAGCATGGCACCAGAGGCGCTGCCTGGGCCGTGGGCTCACTGCACAGCCTCCACCCTGCCTCCTGACCTGTCCATCCTGCCCAAACCTCACTCTGCACAACAGGACTGAACAGGGGCACTTAAATTCCCTGAAAAGCAGTAACTGAGCTTTAGCTTGTTTTCTGCTGTGTTTATCACATCCAGTGACTCGCTCTGGGGTGTAAAATATACACATGTCTGCTATAGCACAGGAACACACCCTTTTAGGGCACAGACACCACAATTTCTTCCAGGTACAGGTCAATCTTGGCAGACACAGGCAGCCTCCCTGGCTCCTGTCTGAGATAAGATTTGTAGAACTCCCTGAAGGCTTTGTCAAGAGAGCAAAAAGCTGTGTTGGCATCTCTAAAATAAATTCCCTAAACACACAGGTTCCTTGATCACACTGAGAACATAAAGCAGGTGCTGCTATTTCACAGTCTGCAAAAATACCATTCTTTAAAATTTAGTCAATAACTGTGTGAGGTTACACTGTCCTTCCTTGCCCCCCGCATAAATACAGTTTTTCCCAGTTAAAAAAATGGAGTCTACCAGGAAACAGCAAGTCTCTAAAATAATTCTGAATCTAAATTAATGTTTGCATTAGTGAGTCGATTTTCTCTTAAAAGGAGAAAAGGTTAAACTAAAGTAACAGCTGCATGAAAACTTCATCTTATTTAAAAAGGGAAATAAAAGAGCCAAAGGCAGGACATTGAAAGGTGCCGTCTAAAAATCGGGCGATTCAAAATAGAAAGTCCCTGCGTTATTAGCTCCATCAAAAGAACCCTTTGTGACCATCAGAAGGAGTGATTAGGAGGATTTTCAAGATATTTAATCTCCCCTCCTTCCCTGGGAATGCTGCTGAGTCAGTACAGATTAGCCCTTCCACAGCCCTGCTTCACCTTGCAAGGAGATTTGAGCAAGTGTTCCTTTTGTATTTTAAATAGCATTATTGTCTGTATTTTGCATATGTATATGCTAACTGTTAAGGGCAGAGATGTGCTAACTGCTCTGCTAAGAACCATCCCTGCAGCCCTCTACCTACGACTATTACAAGTGTTAATACTTGTCTCAGCTTCAAAGGAGCAGGTGGCAGATGGCAGCAGAAACAGATTGGTAAAACAACACCAAAAATAAGACTGGCTAGATAAAACCTCAAGACGTGGACCACAGAGATATTTAAACATCTTTATCTTCATATAGCAGTGTCATTGTTATTGCTATTGCTTTTGCCATTTAACTCTCTCTGACTTGCATCAGTTGGAACAATCATTTGTTCCAGTGGAAATAAAACATCTGCAGTAGAAATGTCACTACAGAGGTCTCATTCTTCTCTACAATTGATTTTGCATCCTTTCATCTCTGCGCAGTTAAGTTCTCAATATATACTGCTAAGGAAGAGGGGAAAGAGAAGTGACCACTTCCACAGCCCAGCTCAGCTCTCCTTTTCTCTTTTCTCAAGACCTCTTCTAGGAAGGTCTTGGTATCTGCCAAAGAGGTATTTGCCTCCAGGAAGGAGGCAATTCTTACAGTAGACAAAACTATGAGCAAAGAATTGATTTATTAGTCCTGTTTGTTTTGCAAACAAATTATAGCCTGCATCCAGGAGTGAAAGAAGGAAAAGGCAGTTCTAGGTATTGCAACACCAACATATTAACAAAAGACCCTTGACACAGAAAACCCAGTGCTCTCTGACTGCGAATGGCTGCATTCCTTTATCTGTAACTCAAGGCTGTGTTTGGAAATCCAAATTACTGCATGCATGCTGAGGAAACACAGGGTGAAAAGATATGATCTTCCTCTGCAGGATCCTGCACCTGTGCCTTCACTTCTATAAATTCCATCCTGAGATTTAGACATACGTTTGTGAACAAATATTAAAAATTACTGGGAACACACCTTTTTAATAATAGGGGGACAAGATGCTGCCAATTTTACTTGCTTCCTGGAAGCAAAGCCTAAAAACAAATATCCCTATCTCCACCACAAAGCAAATAATTTGGCCATAAATTTCTATGGTCTATTTGTATTTCTATGATGTGCTTAGCTACTGTTACAACAGACAACAGAAATAAAACCAGTAATGCTGGCCCAGAGGTATGACTACTAATCACTTCAGCTGAAACCAGTGACAGTTTGTTGACAATGTATAATTTCTCAGATCTCACCATGGGAACTGCAGCTGGGGAAAAAAATTCAACCAAACAACCAAAGCCACACCAGCCCCCCCAAAAAACCCAAACCCACACACTGGCATTTGTAGGCATGAAGGAATCAAAGTTCTAGACACAGAATCTTTCAGAAGTGCTAGAGCTGTAATTGACACAAATAACCAAGCACTTCTGAAAAATCAGGTGCATAAAGAGCTTGTAAAAGCTTTCCTTTAACACATTTCCACCCATTCTGTGTTTTAGTTCTGGAACATATTTGCTTTCAAAATTTGTCTACACTGTTTAAAACTTGGCCCAATCTAATTAGCTATAGGAAAAAGCTGTTAATGTCTGATGGACACATGCAGGCCCTGAAAACTTTGGTAGACTTTAGTCCAATTGCTAATTAATTCCTTGTTCTCATCCAAGATATAACATCACAGTTGTACACATGACAAAGGCTTCACAGAGGGCCTAAGGTGAACAGGATAAGCAGGATAAGGAGAGCAAGACCTTTCATTTTACAGGAATAATTTCAAGGAAGAATTGAAACCCATTGCTGGGTGATCTCATAACTTTGCCTCCTTTGCTATACCCATCTAGTGGATAAATGAAGGACTCTGGTCAGCAGTGCTAGCAACTCAGCATGTTTAAGCACTCTTAACCCACTTAAATGCTTCATTTTTCTTCCTTCTGCATGTTAATTCCAGTCCTGTTCCCACAGTCCTACCTATTTCTTTACTAATAAATTTTTTTCCTGGGCTAGTGTTGAGTCATCTAAGGAAGCAATAAGGAAGTTTTATTTTCAGAAGGCTGCATTGAGCATACATGTGAAGTTCATTAATAATGTCTTGCTTGAGACTTCTCTCATTCTGAACCAGATGCTTAGAAATTGAACAGCTGCCTCTGGCACAGCAAAGGGTATTTTGTTTGGCAAGCACCACCACAGCTGTCTCAGGCCAGACTGCAGCACACTACTAACTTCACAGATTGTGTTTACAACAGCATGGAATTAGCTGGTAAATCCTGTCAGACTCCTCTCACAATTTTAGGTATTCTCTGGATAGATCATACCTGTGTGATTGACCATTTCCTTTGTTCTCAGTGAAGTTCTCAGCAGATTGAGAAGATAAGGTATCACCAGCTGGGATGTGTTGGTCCATTCTATGACCTGATGCAAATACTTCAGACGACTTCATTTCAACTGCTGCTTTAAAAAAAACACCACAGTTTAGTGAGGAGTTGTCTCCTTACAGTTTTATTAGAAATACAATCAAGTCACAGCTCCTGCTGTATGAAGGAAACCTTGAGATTTTGGCAGGCTACTGAGTTTGTGTGGCAGAGTGTATTAGGGCTCATCACCTGAGCAAAACAGCTGCAAGTGTGATAATTTAAGCCCTTAGGCAGTTGGAAAATAAAACTGGCTACACTGTGCACTTGCAATGGGATAGGAGCATGCAGACCTGCAGTTAACACACATCAGCTATGTCCAATATCTCATTAAAGCCACAGGAACACAACACCCCATACATATCCACCGTAACAGGGCCACTGCAGACAAAAAGAAGTGTTTTACACTTCTGTCAGACTCAATTTCTGCCTTACACTAATGGGGAAGTGAAGGACACTCAGTTTGCTTAGAACCACAAGGCTATCAAGATGTGCAAGTTCAATGAAAGTTTAGGGAAAATCCCTAGCTCCAATCCTGCCATGCTCAGGACAGGCTGCTGTCCTGGTTTGCTCTCTCATGCTGATAAGAATGCAGATCAGGTCGCTCTCAGACAGGCATTTTGCTGCCCAGCACATGTTCTGTCTGGCATTCAGCATACTAAGTGTAGGAGGATGACCAGGGTTCATCTTTGGCCCACAAGTTTTCTGCCCACGGGAGACAAAAAATAAAAGAGAGCAAGAATTATCGATTCTTAACCAAAGGATAAAGGGGGAGAGGATGGACTCAGACAAAATCAGACCAATTCAAGAACAACCAAATATTTCCAGAAGGACATTAAGAACTGCACTCATTTTTGGAAAACAAAAGAGGATCAAGGTTCCTTGAGGCTAAACTTAGCCTCCTTGAGATAGCTCCTTGAGGAGGCTAATTGTTCACATGAAGCTTTTATTCTGTTTTTTTCACTCTCTGTCTCACTATTCATTTCATGACTTGGCTGCATGAAACTGAGTCCCAAGGTACTCATGTGATGCTGGGAAACAAATATTCTGAAATAAGCAGGCTCTTGGTACTGCAGAATGACCATCAGACCAAGATCAGAAGTTAATAAACAGCATATTTATTGCACAGCAGAGATGTTTGGCAGAGCATCATGAAAGCCTCTAGGAGCAGTACCATTATTTTTACACATTTCTGTTCCCTGCTGCATCTTAGAAGGCAACAGAAGAGAAAGGGTTATTTTCCACTGTCTTAAATCAAAGCCTTTTCAATTTAAATATTACAATCCCCATTGCCTTTTGGAAAAGTGGAGATGTTCAAAGACCCAGCTTAATTCTAATCCTGCAGAATAAAGTCCTGTCACTGACATAACAACCAGGAGGTCCAGCAGTGCAGTCTCTCTTTTCTCTTCTCTTCCACCTCATTTCTAAATTCCAAAAGACAAGAAAGACAAGCACATATGTCACTGCTACTTGCAAAAAACAAAACAAACCTCAGGCCATCTTTCAAGTAGCTCAATGCTATTTCATAGCCTGGATTAATGCCTGGAAAAATTTCCTCTGTCAGACACAAAAATTATTTGTCTTTTTACATGTATAATGCATATAAACTAGCAATATGTTGTATACTCTGATCTCAAAGGGTTTTCTGTAGGAAAAGAATACAATCTAGTAGTGTTATTAGTAGCCACCTGCATATAATTTTGACTGAAAGCAGCTAACAGAATGTTTTAAACAGAGGCTACAAGCAAAGTTCTGACAAAATGAAACATTTAAGCTGGCAGAAGTATCTTCAGCATGAAGGCTTTAAATCAATATTCGTCAAAAACTAACAACATTTACTTTGCTGACTGACTCAGGCTGCCTGTTTAAACGTCTTCACAAATCTCTACAAAACAAACTATCAGACAGCATCAGCAGCACAGCAAAAGTGACAGAGCTGAGTGCATGCATCTCACTGGAAAGACATCAAAATCTGTTCACTTGGGCTCTGGATGGCTGCAAAATGCCTTAGGAATTGCACCCAGTTACACTTTAAAACACCAAATAGGAACATCCTTGATAACTACTTGGCTTAATTTCCTTTACGAAGCACAGGTATGTAAAAATCCATTCTTTTTTTCTTTCTCTGCAGGGAAACTGCCAAGTCAGTATGCTTTTACTTGGTTTACAACCTTTGCTGGTGTGAGTTGCTGCCCTTGGTCGGCCAAACTCCCTGAGCTGTACTCAAGGTGCACAGTGGAGAACAGCAGCTCCCGTTGCTACACAACAGCAAGAACCCAAGTGCCCATCGTGGGCAGGAGCTTCTCCTGCTCCTGTCCTGCTCCCCCTTCTGCATGTTACATTTATCAGCTCTAGGCATTACGCAAGTGAATTCCTGTCTGCAAGACCTCGGTTACTTTTCTCAGAATCCTTTTCATTTCCTTTAGGAAATTTAAAAAAATAGAAGAGAAAGTAAAAAGTATGCTATTCCTTTACTGCTTCAAAGCATATTTTTCAGAAAAGAAAAAGCACACTTTGCCTGAACTTATTCATAATTCTGTCCCGGATATGCTGCAAGATCCTTTATCTATAACTGCTGAACATTTTGCCTTAGATCTGTAATGGCAAATGTTAATTAATCCCTGCAGGAAGGTTGAAACTCCAACATCCAAAGTTCCAGGATCTCGTGGATATCAGAAGTTCAGCAATTGAGTATTTCAGAATTCCATCACATGTTTGTGAGCTCTCAGGCCCAGCTGAGTTTGCATTAATTTCAGCTGAAGCTGCAAGGACAGAATCTTTAGCAGCATCACCCACAATGCAGCCACACAGCACCAGGCTGCCCATCCTCCACAGCCCTGGATGGTCTGAATGCAGTTGCAAATCTCAGCAGATAACTGCAGCTGCCTTCAGCTCTAACACTGAGATACAGCCAACAGAGCCTGCAGGTGCCAGCAGACAGTGATTCATTTAGCTCCAAACAAGGGATATTTGATCAAGCAAGGGGCTTTGCCTGTTGGGAAGTGCACTGTCTCTGCCTGCAGCTCCTTCCCTGGGCAGGGGGCATTGCAGAGTATCCTTCACACACTGGAAGCCCTGGGTTTGATGCTTGGCACTCCCACAGGAAGCAAGATGGAGTGAGGCAAGTGAGACCATTGGTGTCTGCTGGGCACACGTTACCTTCTGTGGCCTTTCATTCAGCTGGAGCTGAAGCGTGCTGCGTGCCCCAAGGTCCTGCAGACTGACCCAGGCTCTATAAACACAGTTCTGTTTCCACACTACACTAAAAGAATCCCCAGTCTACAACACACAGTCCAGGCCCCCTAACCCTGCCCCAGTCAAGGAAGATGTCAGCAGTTAAGAAGAGCACCCACAGGCCATCCTTACATGAGGGGGAAATGCAGAAGTCAGAAATGCTGGACTGTCTCCCACCACAGGCGGAGGAAGGACCGCTCGCCGGAGACTGCAGCTTCTCATCCCTATCGTGACAGGAACTGGTTCCGTTTTCTGGCCTGGAGGAGAAAGGAGAATGCAGGGTGAATGCTTACAGTATAAAAAGTTTAATCAGAGTAAATTCTAATTTCTTCTAATTGCCTGTAATGACATAGTACACATTGAAATTATTTTATATTTCATATTTAAAACCAGTACTAAGGATGCAATTGAACTGCTTGACTGTAGCTCCCCCAAACCAGCTGACATCAAACATATTTGAAATTGACATTTTTTCCTACTGCAATAAAAGAGACGAGGAAAGAAAACCATAACTCCCTGCAGTCTGAAGACTCAAAAACACCACCATGACACTTAAAGATTGAAACGGGCCTGAGAGGTCTTCAATACTTAGCTTTTTCAAGGATTTAAGATTTGCTTCTGAACATTACAAGGATTTCATTTTAAAAAGCAATATGCAACACAGACCTAAAGTAGACAACAAATAGAACTCTTCATTTCACAATGAAGGGGATCAATGGGAAACTGAAGCAGCTGAAGGACAGAACAGGGACACAATTGCTTACTAGTAAGCCATAAAACACAGCACAAGTGAGAGGGTGTGAAAAGAAGTTGGCAGACATGGAAAGTTTCCCTGCCCAATATCAGGTTAAGGTAACTAAACTACATTTCTAGTAAAAAGGATGCAGTCCAAGGAGGCAGTTAATGATTTCACAGCTAAATCAGTTTCTAAGGAAATAGCTAGCAGAATATTAAGTAGTTCAGGCCCCCTTGAGTGATCTCAGCCAGTGAGTCTTTAGAGAAGGAGGGAAAAATGAAAAAAAGAAAAAGAAGGCAGCTTTCCAGTATTTCCTGACTCCCTCAGCTCCATACAGCAAGAGCTTGTCCATACAGGGATCCCATGACAATTCATCTGAAGTAACTAGAGCCTTGTCTGCACTGGGAAGTCATAGAAAAATTAGCATGAAATGGCTGCTTCATGTGCAGTGGCTATTCTGCATTAATTTTCTGTGTGAATACTTCTATTCAGCACTAAAGATCTTCACCCCCCTCCCTTTTGGAGGTATGAACCAACAACTCAAAGAGGCACGTTATAGTATCTCCTCAACTGCTTCCTCTTTCATGATGTTTTTAAATGGAATATATTACATTGAGTCTCACATGAAGAACTTCAAACAAGTTATATTCACTTCAATTTTGAATGGAAGCATTTACAGAAATTTTTAACGTAGTTTGACCACTCTGTTGAACACAAGACTTCAGATAATTCAGATGAACTGTCCTGGATTGTATCCAGTAGGCAAACTGTACCCAGGGCAGAAGTGTCTAACATTTTTCATGAGATTTCACATGATACAAGCCACTAAATTTATTTAAACTACAAAATACATCCAGTTCAGATATTGCTTTCAAATTAAGGCAGCTAAGTTTTTATTGTTTTCCTCCTGCAATAATTTCCAAGCGAGTATTTCCTTATTTTAGTAAATGAATTTGTACTAAAATTAGAACAGCATAAAAGCATGAAAGCTTGTCCTTTTCTGCTGCAAAATGTAGTCTGAGAATGTCTTCATCTATTCACTGCAGTTTCCTGCACACAAATTAGTCAGGTACAAAGGACAAACTTCTCATTCAGGGTGGTACTGCTTGTTTCCTGCTTAAAACATGGGAGCATCAAACACTCACAGTATTTCTACCATTTGGGCAGAGCAGGAGGGAAATTAATTTTCACGTATTTTCACAGTGCTAGATTTCTGCTGTTTACATTTCTCCTCTGTAGTTTGCATAGCGAGGCAGTCTGTGAAGGCTGCTTCACACCATCAAACTAACACTTCTCTCTGACCAAGAGCTACCAGAACCAGCGTGACAGAAATGTGTTTTTAATTTGTATCCAGCAGTGACCTGAAGCAGTCTTGCAGAGGCACAAGCTGCACAACTGAGAAGATTCAAGTTGTGCCAAATACAAGAGTCACGTCACTCCAGGATCCTGGGACACTTAAGTAAACACCCTGCCTGGGTAGATGGTGCTAAAGAGAGGCAGCAATCACTTCCAGAGATTATTTCTGATGCAAAAATTGCAGTGCAGTACACGACACTGGGAAATAAAAGCCACTCCCGTGGGTTTGACACCATTTTTTTGACTTCCCAGAGGAAAGTAATTTCATTTTCACAAGCTTGGTTTTCTCTCCACTTATAAAGCAAGAATGCCATGCTTAGATACTCTAGTGATAATGATGATTTATTCCTGAAAATATACTTTCTAAATAGGCTGTAAGACTGCCTGACAGGGACTGAAATGGTTCAGGCCTTAAACATTGCTAGGAAAGAGCTTTGCCCATTATAGCAAAAACAGAATAAAGAAGTTACAAACACGAAGCCCCCCTCCTTGAAGATGCCTGGCTGGAACTTTGAATTGCGAGTTAAGCCACCTAGATAAGATAAAGGGGACATTTTATGTTCAATCATCTCAGGTCCAGGGAGAAGCAAACAAGGCTGAGAGAAAGGAATGCATCCACAAGAATGCCAAATGCAGAGAGAATCATCCCTGGCTGGGTTTGGGGTGAGGGAGACCACAGCCCACAGAGGCCAGGTTTACACAGACTCCCCCTGAAAAGAGGAGGGGAGGCGGTTTTGGGTGCAGCCTCTGGTCAGAGGCACTGAACACCCATCCTCCCTTACACAAACTGGCCCAGCTGTGCAACCCCCAACCCCACAGGTCACATCCATGGGATACTGATGTGGGAGGAAGCTGAGGGGGTGTCATAATCCATCAAAGACCCCCAAAGCATTCCTCAGACTCATTCCTAAGGCCTTGCACCACAGGACTGCACCTGAGGCAGTGATGCAGGCAGAGCCTGCTGCAAGAGACTGTGCCAAACTGCCCCCCCAGTGGAGGCCCCTGGGCATTCCCACCTGGCCTGAGCATGTCCTCATCCACTGCATTCTGCGCTTTTTGGGGCACCCTCACCACCAAGAAGACCAGAGCTGGAGAGGATCAACGGAACATCCTTGGGATCCACAGAGTGGTGAGACTTTCTTTCATCTGTCTCTGTCACTCTCTGTACCCCCACCTCTTTTCTGTTTCTTTCTCTTCCTTCTTCTCCCTCTCCCTCTCTCATATTTATTCAAATAAAATGCACAATATTGACTTTGGCAAATGGTCTTGTTAGCATATTAATTTGGGCAGAGGAATTTCGAGTAACTTTAAAAACTGGACTGTAACACTGCCCTAACAGCCAATTCCACAGAATCAGTCCAGGTCTCCAAGCCCACCATGGGTAAAATACTGTGCAGGGCAAGTGGGACCTTGAACTCTAACACTGACTCCACAGTAAAGTGGCAATGTACATTTAGGCATAGATAACCAGTATATGTATATTTAGGCATAGATTAACCAGGCAGACAAAGTAGGGCCATGTTCAAACAAATGCCATTTTGTCCAGGCCTGTATTCAGAAGAAAAATTAAGATTTTAAGGCAAATTCTGCCATGGGATAGCCAAAAATTCTTCTGCTTTGGAAGTGTGTGTTTCCTTCACCTTGCTTTTTTAAAAAATAAATGTCTTCTGGAGTTTTGTCCATGCCCAGATCTGGTATGTTACTCTTGTCTGTTCCAAGGCCCTGGTAACCTAATACATATAATCCCATAAGAATGGTACCCCTGCCAAAAAGGTATATTTGGATAACTCAGGAGGGCTCCCAGTCAGGCCACCTGCTTGTAGGAATGCTAATTCCAACATGAGACAGTGGGAGGCAAGATAAAGCTGTGACCACTCCTTGTCCAAAACAACAGACTTCACTCAGAGTCACCTGCACCTGTGCAACTACATCAGTCCTCACTGTCTTCTGTACCCATTTTCCACACTAAAATGAGTAGGGAAAGTACTTTAAGAAATGGAAAATATGAACAGAAAAGCAAAGAGTAGCAGAGGGACGACATGGACAATCCTCAGGACTGATGTGTTCGAAGAACCACCTGTAATTTCATTACATTGTCGTGTTTCAGGTTACCCACTCATTTTAACACACCCATACCAATCCTGTGAGTCTTGAGTACTCTCATCATACTTTGTTAGTCTTGTAGGGTCTCAGATTAAGTAGCCACAGAAGTGAAAACATTAAATCATCAAAATAAACATCACAGCTATCTAGACTTGATCAAATCCACAATTATGCAACTGAAATTTAAAAAATCATTAAATTTGGGGTCTCATTGGTATTTTACTTCCTCAGTCAGGACAGTGAACAGGACAAATCTCATCTCAGAAATTAAGATATACTTGTTCTAACAGAAGGCAGAGACTATTCAAGAAGCTCTACATGGTAGGACTCCTTTATTCCATTTACAATAAGCCTTCTACTCTGACCCAAATCACACCAAGGGCAAAGTGCCATACATACTTCTGATGGAAAATGTACTTCTTCCAAAGCAGGGAAACACAACATAACAAGATTTTTATCCTATCCATTTTCTTTTTCATCTGTCCTCTAACAAACCTCCCCAGAGCAAATACACTTTCTTCCTGGTGAAGTGTAAGATCCCAGGCACTGTAGATGTTTGGTGCAACTTTCTAATGGAATATTTCACAAGAAGATGCAAGAACATGTGGGATATAATGCAAATTTAAATGAACCTGATCAGTATATATATTCAACTATATATTTTGAGAATGTGACCATAGGCAGTGGACCTTTCTCTGTCTGCAATGTTCTGCTCTTTTTTTTTTTAAATTATCCACAATGAATGACAATGGCAATGCACTTTTAGATAGAGAAGGTTTAGCTATTAGGCATTGTTATGGGCTTCTTTTCTTTGTTATGCTTTTTAAAAGATCTTAAAAAATCCAACTTGGTCTCATTTGTTTGGACTTACGTTAGATATGCAGTTCTGTGATAACCTGGTGTCACAGGTCTCTGGAGTGGCTCATCTATACTCTGCTGGACACCAGCAAATTGCTTCTTCTTAGTTTTTGGAGTGTGAGTCATTATCTGATACACAGGAAATGAAGAAAAAAAATAATGCAATGGAAAAACAGTTACTTGAAGCCATAGAGAAAATTCTATAGAAACACTGAAGGAGAAATTAAATTGCATTCTGGTGTCACTGGGTAAAACTGCCTGGAATCACTGAAGGCTCTTTCATGACATCTCCTCTCAGGTCACTTTTCCATCATCAAGATTCTGCACTCTCAAATCCAGAAGGATTGGATTGGGTTGGAAAGGTTCACAAAGACCATCCAGTTCCAACCTCCCTGCCATGGGACACCTTTCAGGTTGCTCAAGCCTTATCCAACCTGGCCACAAACACTTCCAGGGATGGGGCTGCCACAGCTTCTCTGGGCAACCAGTGCCAGAGCCTCACCATCCTCACAGGGAGAAATTTTTTCCTTGTATCTAATCTAACCTACTCTCTTTCAGTTTGAAGCCATTCTCCCTTGTCCTATTACTACATGATCTTGTGAAAAAGTTCCTCTCCAGCTTTCTTGTAGACCCTATTAGGACTGAAAGCCCACAATAAGGTCTCCCTGGAGCCTTCTCTTGTCCAGGCTGAATAATGCCACTCTCTAAGCCTGTTTTCACAGGAGAGGTGCTCCAGCCCTCTGAATATCTCAAATTAGTCACAGCAGACTAAATGGCATTCATACAAACTTTATGCTTTTTTACCTAATAGCTTTTTGCTGCTTGAAGTAAGGCAGACAATACTTGATCCGGCACAACGCCTGCAGGAGCAGTTGACTTTTCAACTTTTTTTTTTCTAAAATAATTTCAGACCAGCAGAATGTTCCAGTTATTAACCTGCTCAGTACTTTGCTTTGTGTGCTCAGAGTCACTGGTGTAGCACTAGAACCCTAAGGCTGCCTGTAGCTTATTATTAAGCCACAGCCTGACCACCCTCTGTGAAAGGGTAGCTCCTTTCTCACACTGGTTCTGCTTCTCCTGAGCAGCAGCTCATACACACACTGTGAAAGATCCAGACTGCTCTGCAGATAGCACCTGCCTCTTCAAGCAGCAAATTGAATAAAGTGGTGAAACTACTGAAATGAAACACTTAACCCAGAAAATTAATTTATTTTAAGATTCTAAGGAGTGGTACTCACTCCCAAGTACTCAGTTGTTAGCAGCTTCTCTCCTGAAAGCTCCCCCAGCTGAGGCAGCAAAACCTCATCTTTGTCCAGATCAGGCTCCAGGATGTCATTGTCCTCCTGCAAGGCAACAAGAAACTCAGGTGTGCAAGGAAGCTTTAAAGCTGGTAATTAAAAAAAAAAAAACCAACAAAACAAAAAGCTGCTCCTAAGACAGACCCAATCCAGATGAAGAAAATGTTTTTTGCTTTTGAAACCTGTTGTGACAGTAAATGAAAATGACTGTCAAAAACAGTAAAAAAGTAAAGGAATCATTCTAAAAAGGTATATTGCATAGTTATGTAGAGAGTCTGGCATAAACTCCATTAAAAATAATGTCCACTGGACTCTGATGAACTCCAGAGCAAAACGAAAATGAAAAGCAGTTTTGCTTTTGTGAGATTTAGACTCAGTTTTAAATAGTCACAATCAGCTCCTAATTACCTGGAAAGCTGGGTATGTGTGAAACATAACACAGACGATGGCAAAAGGCTAAACACTTGTAGACTAGGCAACAATCATCTGTATCAAGCAAAAAATAATCACCCACCCCCACCAAGAAACCACACTTCAAAGTCCACAATATAGTGTATTTTTACGGGGGGTGGAAGTTGCAAAGATAAGCTCTATAAATAGGTCGGGGGGATTGTTTTTTTACAAGATTTGTTAATGCAGCCAATCCTGCTCCCTGACATTATTTAACCTGCCAGGTAACCGAGGCTGAAAGTGTCCCCCCTCTGCCTCCTTGTACAAAATAAGGACTTTGCCCAGGTGCCATCACTCCACTGCGGAAATAACACAATTGGTGCCCTGTTCCCCACTGCTCACAGGCTGCAGCAGATGTTGGAAGCCAAGCCCGTTAATGTAATGGCTGGAAGCCCTGTGATTAAGCCCTTTCTTTTGATGTACTCTGCGGCTGAAGTGGATTTTCACACGGCAGCTCTCTGATTTCATTGCCAGGTGCTGAGTGACAGCGGATCAGAGGGTGTCTGATAAACCGTCACTGTACAGTCATCTCACACAGCTCCAGCTTGTAACCAAACTTGGGAATCAGAGCTACAATATCACATATTCTCTTTAACAAGCAGCTTTTCAAGATGGTCCAAGTCAAATAAAAAAACAAACGCAAAGATCAAATATTGAAGATGAATTAAGTTAGTATTTAACAGACCAGTCAAGAGAATATTGAGCACCAGGAAATACACACTGTGACCGTGGGTGTCAACCCCAGAAGGCTGACATCTCAAGGCTGGGTATGTACTCCAAGAGCCAGTGTATCCTAAGCTCTACACTAGTTAATTTAAAGCTTACCAGACAAACACAAAAGCCAATTTATTTCTGAATAACAGCACACACCCAGACATTTTTTATATGGTTATATACTCCAGCATTACACAGTACTGAACCTTAAATTTCTGAAATCCCAGAATTTTCCTCTAACAGGCTCAACTGCATCTTAGCCACAGTGTTTAGGAGAAAGTAGTCATTACCACAAGATCTGCTCAAAGCCAGGAGAGAATTCATCAACTCTAAATTAAACACAGATAAAAGCAAAAAACCCCTATGAAAGGTAATAGTAACAGCACAGGGAACATTTGCATGCTCTTGTAAACAATTAAAGCTGGAGCAAAACCTGCAAATTAAGGCTGCATGAGAGTCTTTTTGTTGTTTCTTAAGTTGTAAAGATATAAATAAAGGTATTGAACAACATCAGTAAGCAGTCTGAAAGCATGTCACTAAATTGGCAAAATTGGCAATATATGAACATATCCTGAAATGTATTCAGTCTGTAGTAGTTTAAAAGTTACATAAAAGCAAGACTTTTGATAAGATTTTCCAAAACTTTCTGTTGCCAGATCACAACATCAGATGTTATCACAGAACACCATTGAGAACAATAACTCACTGCAATTCCAAAATACAAAAGAGTTCCAAGGATTGAGGTAGTGAGTCAACAAATCTTTGTTTATTTAACAAAGTAATGGCATTATGCATTACTGCCATGAGATTTGTAAACTATATTTTCCAAACTGAGGGACTAAGAAACCAGATGTCCTTGTAGCAGAACAGAATTACAGTTCCCACCAGCAATAAGGATTCAGAATGTGTTGCAATTAATGTTACAATTTGGCTTTTCTTTTTAATGTAATGGCAAAGCAAATGAAAAACTGGAATTGGACACAAAAGCCTAGTGTTATTTTTTGAGTCAAATAATAAGAAATGCCAGAAGTCCATTTTAATCACATGATGGTCCAGTGGCAAAAATACATTTCAAAAGGATTTGACCTAGAGCCTTTGCTGGGATTGTAAGCAGCAGCAACTCATCTGGGGGTAGGACTGAACAGGAGAATTCACCTTCCTTTCTTTCCCAGGAACGGGTAAAGTGATGGAAGTGTTGAACATTATAATGCAATTCAATGTCACACCTTTCAGGAAGAAGCTCCTTATCCATGTGTTTTCACAACAAAACACAGTATCCTTTAAAATACTGAAGTTCAGCCAAAGGTATAATGACCTTGGATTCTCACCACACACCCGCGACACTCAAAGCCTTGAAACATCAGTCAAAAGGTGTTAAGCAGCATTTTAAGCAAAGGGAACTTTTAATGATTAATCTCCAGGAAGCCCATCTTGCACCACAAGCCTTGATTTTCAGTTGGAGGAGTAGAAAGATTATAAAAAACAGACTTCAGGATGGCAGGAGGTGAAACAATTACAATAATCTAACCCTACAAGACAAAAAAAAGTTTACTGTATTCCCTTACAACTCCCTGCGAACTCTCCCCTTAGAATAAAAAGAGGAGAGTTGATTGTTAAATAAAACTTATTTTCTAGCTCTAAACTTAGAATTTCCACATAGCTCTAACTTTGGGCAAAGGGATTATTAGCTCACCACCTATTGTGCCACAGCACAAAAGGTATACACAACACAACACAAAAAGTGGCTAAATAATGCAACCAGAGCAAGGCTTCCCCGGACACTGCCAGGCAAAGGCTGGATGCTGCATGATGCTGCACCCCACAGCAGCTGAGAGCACACCACACCTGTTGCAGTCAGGATATTTGTATTTTTTATCTGCTCTCAAAACAGTAAAAGGTCAATGTGCACTAGAAAATGCATTCTGTCATGCTGCAGTAATAGGAAAAATTTTAGACTTGGTTTTCCCTAGTCACTGTCATTCCCATTAATGTGCAGTGAGCTACTAGAATGTGGATACAACTAAGTTTTATTTGTCTTATTCTTTGTTGGTTCAGGACCAAAAACTTGTTTTTAGTCTAAAAGCATGGTTTTCAGTGAATCTGTTCTGCAGTAACACTTCTAATACAAGAACATTTTGCAGTTCGCTCACTCTCCATGTCACTGACTTCTTCAGGGCCAAACACATGCTATGATGTATTTGCACACATACATACACCTAAGTATGCACAAATACTGTTTCCAGGACATCTTCTATAGCTGTTTTGAATTTCTCAAGCAAGGCTTCTCAATAAAAATGCAGTGGGGTAGATTTCCTCAAGATAAAACTCCCACGTAACTGCTGACACTGTATTTTCAAGCCTCTGCTGTGCACTTAGGGCAATGCAGAAATGGCAACACCACCAGTGAAGACTGGGTATAACATTTCCCTCACACGATTTACATCTTGCTTTGGTTGTTAATTTAGGTGATCCAGTATGTTGTGTTGTCTACACCCATGGTTCTATGAAGACAGCTTCTCAAAAGATGTTGAAATACTGGTGTAGAATGCATTTATTAGCAGAAAAGGAAATACAAAGCTAATCAACTTATATTTACTGTGACATAGTTTCTCATGCTTATTTTATTTTCTCATGGGACTTATTCCTTACTTGTAATAACTGTTTCCCTTTCTTACATTCCAGCAATTTACTAAATATATTTCAAAGTTTTTAAACAGCAAATAAAGTCACACCCTGAATAGATAATGATACCTTAAGAAAAAGTGACAACCTGTTCTCTTCACTCATGTCAAGCTACAATCCTTTAATTATCACAGAGGTGGTGAGTTGCTAAAATAAAAGAGTAGGAATTCAAATGAAGAAAAGGTATGGAAACAGATCCAATTTTCTTGTTAGTGCAAGAATAATTAAGTAAATGTGAAAACCAAAAGCAAAACTAGAAAACTAACATCTGGTTTATTGACACAAATATTTTCTTTCTAGAAGGTTAAGGATTTTTCTAAAAGGTGCCAGAAAGCCTTTACTTACTTCCTCATACTCCTCTTCCTCATCATCATCAGACACAATACTATCATTGAATGGCTCTTCTAGAAAGAAGCAAAACAAAATGGTGTTAGTTAAGCTGCACATGTACAACTTAACAGGATCTCATTATTACCTCAGTTTTACAGGAGCAAGATTTAACCAGCTTCACATACAGACATGTCCTTTTCAGGACAACTATTGGAATAATTTGATCCTAATAAGCATTCTACTAGAAAACACTGAAATCAATTAATATTTTGGAAAATGGCAGAAATAGAAACAGTCTGGAATAGTTACTTTCTCATAAAAGTTACTTTCTCATGTCCATGGTGACATCTCCCTGTATTTACAGACAAGATTTGTATGAAAGTGTGTGTACTTGCAAGTTTGTCTATTTTTCAAATTTTTTTTTAATAAGAAACTCTACTTCTCCCTACAAATACTTTAATATTAAACTGTTTCTGTACATAAAAAGTTAATACTCATGCAGAATACTCATTGTAAGTTTTGGACAAAATTATTTTCTCAGGAAAAGAGTGGCCAGGCTTATACTGGAAATCATAAAACACAACTTGTACTCATCAATGACTCTGACAAAAGCTCTTAAAAATGCCATTTTCAGGTAGAAAAGGAGTGGTTCTATAACCTTGATGAACAAATATTGTATAGTGACAATACAGTGCTTAAATTCTTTATTTGTTCTTTTACAAGCTAGAACTTGTAAAAGTTCTAGCTTGTAAAAGAACAAAAAAAAAAAGAACAACAACAAAAAAAAAAAGATAGGTTGTGTTCTCTTTCCAAAAGCCAAACAGAGCAGTTCAACTTTTTCTATGCTTACTGTACAGAAAGATGCAACCAGAACTAATCTCCTTTTCTTTATTTGCTTTCTCTTTCTTCAGTCTTCCTTTCAGTCACAGGCAACAGAAAATGGAATAAATATTCCACCTTCTCAGTCTATATTAATGGCATCAACAACTCTGATGACCCATAAACATCCTCTCCAAAAAGGATGGTCTCTGCTCCCAATTCAGGATGAGCCATTTCACATAAAGCTACACCTCAACAGAGCAAGAGATGAGCACAAACAGACCTAGTCCCTAAATCCTATTTTATAAATTTCTACTGCATTTTTCCAGTTGGCAGCAGTCTCTCATTACCATCAGACTACTGGCATGAAAGATAACAGGCAAGGTAATTTTATTTATGATCCCAAAACTTTGGAATTGTGTCTTACTGAGCCTTTTATTTCTTCTTTATTACTACAACATAAAGGAAATTCTAAAATACGTTACTTTCAAATCCTGACATTCACTATTCACCCTCTCTCAGACCATCACACTATTGTCATTCTTTGATGGTTCCAATGCCCAGTAAAACCATGAGCTTTTTTATGGCTTTTGTGAAAGATTTAAAACTGTGATAGCTGCCTGTGTTCTGACCTGAATTGAGCTGCTTGATAACAAATTCCATCTGTCGAACCATCTCTTCATTTCTCTCCTTGATAAAGCAGCGCAGAATTTCTTCCATTCCCTGGATGTAGCAGAAAACATTGGTAGATCAGTGTTTCATGTCACCACAGTGACAGAGATCTGTTAGCTAAAATATCTTTTTTTTTTTTTTGGTCAGGGAAAACAGAGGCAGTGTGAAGCAAACCACAGTGTCCAGCTCCAAGTGTTGCACAGACAAAAGAAATACGCTCTCTACATTGCTTCAAGGCTTAAACAGAGACATGTCCATGATGAACAGCAAATTTTTACAATAGATCTGTTGCTTTTGCCTTCTGAATTCAGCACACAGTAGTCATCAGAATAGGATAAAATTTGCATCCACAGAGACAACAGTGCAAGGTTCAGAGAAAGAAAGCAGAAAGCAGAACCAGCTTTGACTTTAAACCTGGTCTCTCTCTTTATGGCTCTATAGACTTGATGTTCTGTCTTTAAGCATTTATGATCACTTCCAATCCTCTGTGCTCTCTGAGGTAGAACATCTGCAACAATTATGTCTCCATAACTCTCTGGGTTAGTTCTTAAGATACAAAGACATGCTGCTATCCCAGGAGCAGCATCCTCAAACACAGAAGTTGAAACAGTCATCACCATTAGACTAACTTTCACAGGAAATCAGTTCCTATTCTGAAACCTTCCTCCTGCTCCTTCCCCAAATAACCATGTCTATACCAGGCAGAAAGAAAACAGGAAGAACTCCTTTTAGTAGCTACTCACTGGTGCAGAATAAGGGGAAGAAGTAGCAGGTGAGACAAAAGCATCCAGGAGGCCACAAGGAGTCTACAAAATACTAGAAGGACACACAATTCTAAAATAACACCTTTCATTTATAATTCAGACAGAATCCTTCACTCTACTGGGGTTCCACTCCTGGGAAAAAGAGCTGGAAACATGGCAGAAGTGTTTGAGAAATACATTCATACTCCCTGAGGATTAAAGGGGAAGGGCCTTTTGTGGGTTCCCTTCTCAAAATGCCCTGGCTGCCACCACACAGCCCTGCTGTGCCCTGCTCAGCAGGTCCCTGTCTGGGCCATCTCTGGCAGAGGTGATGATTTTCATGCTCTGTAAAGCAGCACTTCTTACCATTTCTTTGGCTTCTTCTCGGACAGAAGGGATGGCCAGAATACTGTACAGCACTCCATTCACATATGACTGGATCTAAGAGGAATAAATAGTAATACCATGAAGAAAAACTTTTACATTCCTCCCAGCTGACTATCAAAATATAAGAGTGAAAGTATAAAATAACTATACTTCAAAGAGTTTAACCAGGCTAGACTGGACTAGCAAAAATTCCCACATGGGAAGCAGAGAACTTTTAGGTTGCAAATATACTGTGATATGGTTGATCTAAACCAGTATGCTGCATGCCAATTTCCCAAACAGCCCCCCTGCTTCTGATAATGTATTCTTACAAACTGACCTAGCCATAAATAAAATTAAATAAAAAGGAAAAGAAAGAGAGAAAAGCAGAAAAAGGTCAATTTCTGACAAACACTAATAGCAGTACAATAAACAGGACAAGGAACAGGGAAAAGTCCCTGCCAGCATGAACTCAAGACAGGCTTCAAGCACTCTAGCCTCAGGCAGGATGACAAAGCCAAAGCAGCTTCATGAATGTCACAAGTCTACTACTTTCTTATAGTGTATTAGTATATATAGAAGATTTCCTATATTCCTTAAAACTACAGCAAATGTGTTCCCCTGCATCTGATGGTTTGCATAATGGGTTTACATCACACATTGTTCATCTCATGAACAGTCAAGCTTGAGGTGATTTGGTGCATGGCATTTAAGCAGCATCAGAAACTGCAATCAAAGCACATGGACTGCATGGTAACTACATCCAAAGCTATCATTTTTAGCTGCCAGTGTTTGTTAAAGCAAGAAATGCTTTTGTCTAGAAAGACCTCTGCTCACCAAAATAAAATATATGCATTTGTGAATTTTAAGCAAAATTCATGCAACTTAATTAATGAGGATCTAATAAAGGAAACAAAACCAATTTACTTTTTACAACTTTTTCTTTCTTCTTTTTTAAATTTTTCTTTCCACCTTTTCATTAACCCAAAGTTTGATATACAAATACCTTAGGATTCTCATGGTCAAGAAGACCAGAAAGAACTCTGAGCATGGGGTTTGGGATACTTGCACATATTTTCTTCCCTGCAAAAGCAGAACACATAAATATGCTTGAAAAATAGAACAGATCAAAGCAAGTTTCTTTCTTACTTTTTAGAATCAGTATTAAATATAGTTTGCACAGAGCAATACTTTTTCTTTTTCCTGACAAATGCTGTTCAGAATAACTGAGTTGAAATCAGTGAAGTTACTCTGGATTTATGCAGTCATAGTCTTGGACAGGACGCAACAAAAAAGGGGATTTAAAAATTTAACAAAGGCAATTTTTTGCTTACAAGAAGCAGAGAATTTTTCACCCTTACCTTACTTTCCGTTTTAAAAGGAAATTTAATTTATGTTCTTTTTAAGTCTCTTGGACACAGACAGGATTTTATTTTCTTGGGGGGAATCTCTGCTTTGTAGAAGTGAAAGCAAGGTGAAGGTTAAGCTCCTCACTCTTACTCCTCAACCCAGTTCTTTCTGTTTACAAAGAAATCTCTTACACAGAGTCTGTAAGTGGACACAAAGTGTACTTTGAAAAGTGGGCCTGAACGTAGCAATGGCAGCCTTCACATACTAATATAAAAAATAATCAAATCTTATAGGGTGCCATTGCTTAATTCTTTAGAATTTCCATAACTGGAATTCTTGGGAAAAGAGATGTGCTCAAAAGCCTTGGTTATAACACTCAAATATCCCTGGTTGTGGTTCCTGCTGCTGATTGCAGTCACTTGAAAGAATCCAGGTAAAACAGGAAAAAAAGATTCACAATCTTCCCTATCTATTTCCTGAAATAAGGTTGTAATTCAAAATGTAAGACACCTGCACTCCTCAGACAAAGATTCATGAGCAAGGCAGCACAATACTCCAGGTTGTAATCAGACAGGCAATCTGGGTCTATTAGAACATCAACCAGCCAGAAAATGAGCCCATCTTTGATCATTGCTGACTGCAGTGTGCGCCTAGGATTAAAAAAACAAAATCAGATCACAAATCACAAATGTCAGATCACGACATAAATAGCTTTCATATACATTTATAGCCAGTACAAGCACATTAAAATACACTAACCTGCTGAAAAAAAAAAATCCCTAAACTACCTGTTTTGGCAGAATCATTAAACTAAATAATTAACAAAGCCCGAAGAAATTGAAGATGCAGATTCCCATATGGTTAGAGGACTAAAACATTGTTGGACAGATCAGGAGGTTTTGTCTTTTGTTTTATTTTGTTCTTTTTAAACCTGTGAACTGCTGAGGTAAATTTCTTCATTGTTTTCTAGGGCTTCTTACTCCAGCTAAAATGGCATTTTCAATTGTCTTTTTAGATTGGTTTTAAAAGCCAGCTACACACAACAGATCCATAAAACAAATTAATTACTTCTTCTGTCATAGGTAGCCATAGCACTGTAGCACTTTTGTACTGCCAGTTTGACAAATGAGGTTTTTTGCTTGAATCTATTTGCACTTTTGTCTAGAGATTCTTAAATCTCATGTTCTTTTAATTCAATTTGTAGTTGCCCTCAAAGACTATGGTGAATAAAGTGCCAGCTGGCCAACTGTGATCTACAATAAAAACTCTACAATACAAAAGAAGTATATGCTGGTAGAAAAGTCTTACTGAAGAACAGAATTTTTCATAACATTATTTCCAAGAGGCATTGTATTTAAACTGCAAAGATCAAAGCAGGTGCTTTCCTGGCTTTGGTCCTGAAAGCTCATATGTTTCTTAGTGCTGGATATTGCAGCAGGTCTATGGCATGGACTAAGCAAAACAAGGGAGCATCTGACCGCATATTAAAAAAGTTTCCCTCATGTCAAGTATCTGGAATTAACCTTCTATAAGATTGTTACTTTTTAGAAAATAAAACACTTCCAAATTTTCAGTATTCTTCCTGACTGCTGTGAAAACAGAGTTCCTCAGATCATATTTACTTGATAAACAGAGCATGCCCTTTACTGCTTTTGCGTATTTCTTTTGTGGTGGGTACTTGAGTCAGACTGCTAATGCAAAAGGAAGAAACAAGACAGCCTGTGCATAGACAGCTCCAGGAAAGGGGGTCAACAGGATAAAGATGAAATCCCTGAAAAATGTTTGCAGAAAGGATAATGAAAACCTTATGCTTTGGAATGTATCACAACTCTTTTTTTTTCCATGTAGGATCGTCAGAGCTTTCTGCATGAAGATTTTCACTTTCTTCAGTTAAGGAACACATACAAAGCACACAAAGGCTGTGGCAGGAGATGTACATTTACTTGGGTTTTGACAGCTGGTAGGAAGTCAGGTTAATTCAGTCAGCAAAACTGAATTCTCCTCCATAATAAGTGACATTGCTTTCATCAGCCATCAGGGGTTCTGATGATTGTTATGGGAAAATCAAGTGCTCCTCTTTCCTCCCTGAACAGAGCCTAACTAGCCTGCATTTCCTCCCCTGCTGTCACCACCACACGCTGTGCTTTCATCACCTGAGGCTGAATTTCTGCAGAGCCCCCAGAACATTCTCCCATGTAAGGGAATCCTTGTCTTCAGCTTTCAGCCTGTCCTCCAGCATTTGCAGCAATGTTAGGTTCTGAGAAAGGTAGGCACGACCTGGTGCAAAAAGCGATGAAAGAACAGATGCTGAGATAGCAGCTATGACAGAAAACCTTCCTCTCTTTGGAAAAGTAAGCGGGACTGACCTCAGTTTCCTCTTGACAAGCCACAAACTTGTGCCAAGATCCAAACAAACCTGCACAAAGTTGTGTAGCAGACCAGTGGCATTCAACCCAGACACTTGGGCTATTAGAGGTCCACACTTACCAAATCAGTACCACACAGAATCCACTTTCAGTACATGCTTTCTGACCTAGCAGTTTTGTACAATCAAGAAAAAGTACAGAAATGTCCAAGGAGCTTGGGAAGTCAGGTGCCCTCCTGCTACTGACTTCAAATGAGATTTCAGCACCTGGTATACTTAGCTCCAAAAATAGCAGCAAACCAAGAGCTAATTTGGGACAGGCAGAGATAGAAAGCTGGATATATATGCATCTGGATTGTTAGCAGTGATGCACAAAGATTTATTCAGGTGAGGACCACGAAAATGCAGGAGCCACAGTAGTTACTACTGCACAACCTGGTAGCAGGACTGCCCACAGGAAACCTAATTAATGGGGAGTTTTGTCTTTAACCCTCATGGAGAAACTGGAGGCTATATTAAAGGCAGTATCTGAGCAAGTTCCCACACAGATCACAAATCATCAAAACAAGTCAGAAATACTGAATATACAGTGTCAAAATGAAGACTTTCCAGATACTGAAAAGCAGTTTTGAATGCATGCTACAAAAGATAGTGAATCACTAGAAAAAGGGTGCAAATAAGGCTCTGAATTTCCACATGCAGTGACATGCACTTGTGAAGCACCAATAAGACAGCATTATATGTAAATGCTATCTTATTTTTTGCAGTGAATCTTTTACCTTCTATCAGTGAAGCAAAAGCATTGATGAGCCTTGCCATATACTGTCTGACTACCTCACTCTTGGAATATAATAATTGGAGGACACTTCTCTGAAAAAGAAAGCAGATGTTAATAAATCACAAAAGTTAGTCTCCTATAATGTTTTAAAAACTTCATTAAACTTAAACAGAAAAAACACAAACCCTTTGGATGCATACTGATTTGTCAATATGATGTACAATTTTTTTTTTTATTGGCAGGTGGCTGAAGGAGAGATGGAAAATCAACAAATAGGCAAATTACAGCTTCTCATCTGAGTCTCTTAAAACACCATTAAACTATGGTTAGAGTGGAAGTTACATTGAGCCAACACAGTCCAGTTAAAGATGGTACCTAAAATGAATATATAGTCAGTGACAAAAAAACCCCCCACAAACCAAACAACTTAGCTTTGTTGACAAACTTAAGTGCAGTAATATTACCTGAATAGGAATGCTTTTCTTTGACAATGAAGAGCATGGGAAGCAGCTCAGTAACTTACCAACACCACCACATTGAAATGATTTCTTATTTGTTTTATTTCAGGCTTTACATATAACTTCCCTTTTACAGAAATTTAGAGGGAGAAAAACTGATGGTTGATTTAATAATACTTTACGTTTCCTAGTGGTACAAGAGACTGTTGCAAAGACAATAAAGCCACAACAAACCAAGCAGGCTCAAGTGCCTCAAACCCCTGGGAAACTCAATTATGCATAGAAATCACTACAGTCAATGAAAAAGGTTGTGCTTTTCTTAGCAGCAGTATTGAGTTATCAGGGACTGAAACAACTTTTCAAAATCAACACACCAGCAATTCCCCTTTCTAAAGAAAGGTGCCAATCCACCTTAAATTCACAGAAACACAGTTGATCATTGCAGGTGCACAATGACAAATTCCACAGCGGCATTGGGAGTGAAGTCCTAATTTAGTTCTTATCTTAGATCAGTGAAATGAATTGAGTGTATTATTTAACAATACACAATCACTCAAAAAGAGACACAGCATCTGATAAGCAAGACTTAAAGGGCTCAGGCTTCAGCTCAACTGACAGAAGTGAAGCACAGGGAGGTGATAAACTTCCATTTGTCTACAAGAACCGTGTTTACACTACGAGCTCTTGTAATGCAAAGCTTTGCCATCAACATTTAAAGACTGGGATGCAGAAGCTAAATGTATCACCCAGTTTTGGCACTACTACCTTTTTTCTTCTCCTCTTCCAGAGAGCAATAAAATTTTATGATCAGCACTTCATAGACATAAATGAGCAATATCACACAGAAGCTGGACAACTGACAACTCAGTTTCGGCTGACCTGACAGTTGCTGTGGCAATCTAGGAGGTCATTACTGATGTAAGCTTGCATGATAGTGTCTCTCTGTTCTCCAGGATATGATGTTGTCAAACGCTAAAATAAATAACAACATAAACAAACAAGTTAAAAAAAAAAAAACACAAAAAGCCAAAACTATGGATTGATGACCCCTGGAGATTTTAAAGGTGCTGATACTCTATAGCTGAGAACCTCTTTCATGGGGAGCAGTAATTCAACCTCAGTGACCTAAGGGAAAGAGATGAAATGAACTGACCTGACCTCAGCTGTGTGATCCACTACAAAACTGTTACTTGGGTCCTCTCATCACTGTCCATACAGGAAGGATACAGAATTACTTCCCATAAAGTTAAAAAAGCTCCTCTAATGGTTACATATGCAGTGCTATTCTTATACATCTGAGACAGAGCATTGGGCTAGAAGTACTTTTTGTCAGAACAAACAGTTTGTTTTTATGTGAAAACAGACACTGAAACTTGATCAGAATTCCACTATTATCTTTCATGACTGTCACTTTGAACACACCAGCTTCCTTTTCAGCAGGAAAATGTAACTTCCTGTTGTCACCTGTAATTTTTCTGAAATGTCATTACATAACCCAAGTCAACCAAAAGGTAGATTCCTGTAAAATACCTTGATTATAAAGCAAAACTGGTGATTAGACTCAGGTATGTCATAGATACAGCAGTATTTATATAAATAAAAACCAAAAGGATATGTGGAAAAGGGAACTGCCTAACACAACAATTTATGTGAAAGCACATCAGAAATTATTTCCACTGAATATCGCAGAAATCTGGGAATTGCTCATGTAATTGCAATTGTAATGTCTCTCCTCTGATGAAAAGGACACTGCTACACTACAAATAGACACCTCCTGTCTGGGGTGCCTTCATCATCTCAACAGCCTTAGGAAGCTACACCAACAGGAATTTGCCCTTCACGTTGAACTCATCACCAGATCTTGTTTGCAAAAGGGATCTCAGTTGTGGATGCTTCCCTGTCCTTACCCAGCGCAGAGCCTGCAGTAAGAGGGCCTTGAGACGATCACTTCCTGTAATCAGATCTTTCTTCAGCTTCTCATAATCCAGAGAGGGCAGCAATGGCACATCCTGCACCTTCCTAAAGGAAAAGACACTCATCAAAACTCTCTCTCCTCGTTCAGTGCAGCTGATGTTACTGAGGTGAGAAGAGCCAAAACAGGAAGTCTGCTTCAGGAAAAGAACTTCCACATTTTCACACTTTTATTACTTTTGTTACCATTACAGTGTTAGAACAACAAACTTGTTAAATTTGGGGTTATTTCTTACTTATGCATGCAGCTTGCTTACCATCATAATTTGCAGACAGTAAACTGACAAGACAGTTGATGAGCTGAGATTTTTACTGGCACAAAACAGTACAGTAACATCCGTTTTTCTCCTCCCCTACTGGACCACAAGGGCATGAGGGCAGCAGCTCATGGCTCTTGACACAGTTAGAAACAGATGCAGCAAAAAGCTGCAGCTCCATCTCCACCTCCAAGCCCTTATGTACACAGAAATGTCTTCTCCATAGCAGAGGTGGTGTGGTCTGAATGGATTTTTACAGCCTGGAGTATGCTGACTTCACATGAGACTTAATACAGGACTACTTTCTGTGCATCAATACTATCTTGCTGTTTTGAAATTTAACACTGCAACAGAAGTTTCCCTTAAGAAAATTGCTTTCAGTCAATGTTTTAATCTTAATATTTAAATATAAATCACTAAAATGTTTTACTATCTTCCCATCCTACCACTTTTCAAAACAAATTTTATGTCCTATGTATAATTGCCCCATTCATTATCTTGTAAACAACAGGATTAAAAGTGTCTCAAAAATTTAATAAAACTTCACCTTGAATATATAATTTCTATTCAGTATTATAAGCCCAAATTTATTAAGTCCGACACAAAAAAATTAAAGGAACCCAAAAATCCATATTAGTGACTCCCCCTTTTCCTGGATTTGCAAGAATCAAACCAATTAGAACAACAGGACTGAAATATGTGGAAACACTAAAAATACAGCAACAGCCTCACATGTGTGGAATGGCAGATTTACTGGATCAACAACATTGTGCTGAAATTAGAACATTATTGAAGCTGCTCAGCAGAAGAACACAGATCACACAATATTTGCATCAATGCTCACTGAGGTCAGAGGAAGCACAGAGGAGGAGTGGGTCCCATTTGCAGACAACTGGCAGTGTGTACTTCAGTTTACAAACCCCTCCTCTTCTCTACAGACAGAAATAAAGCTCAGCAACAAATACTTACATAGAAGATAAAGATGCCCTTAACAGTGTGGAAGCCTGAATAACAAAAAGAAAGAAAAAAGGAAATTAAAGCATATAAGTCCAAATTTCACATCATGTTATTAATGAGGTCCAAAGTGAATTCTTTCACTAAGATTCTGCAGTTCTTTTCCTATAAAAACCTGTGCTGTAAACCAGAAGCACAGCTAAAGAAAGAGCACTTCAGTGTTTATCTTTCTTTTCCCTTAAAGTGTTTTACAGGTCAAAATCTCTTTTGTTATGATCTGGCTATATTATCCTCACCCACACAGTCCACAAATTACCTATGCTTGAAGCATTTAAAATAATAATAATAATAAAAAAAGGAATAGAAACTACTATCTGAGCCCGCTGAGGAAGATGAAGAACTTGCTAAGCTCATTCACTGACTTAATAAATTTTCATACCTTTAAAATTGCAATAATATTTCATTGGAGAGCCAGCATGCATTTCTGCACATAAATTAATTGTAATTCTTTGCTCCAACACTAATGTTATCAAGTGCCTGCTGCTACCAAAATATACCCCTATATATAATTATTAATATGTAAAGATAGGACTATATATTCTGGTATGGATAAAACCAATATGAAATAGTGTGCCATTTCTTAGTGGTTCTGCCTAGGATATTATAATTAAATCCTGGATATTTCTTCTCTGCAGGGTGACACAGTGCCTTGCAGGCACCACTGCACAACAAGGAACATCAACACCACATAAAAGTTCCACATGAAAGTTGTCTGCCTCAGTGAGTATCATTGTAGGTAAGCAAAGAAGCAGCAATTCTGGCATAAAAGTGCTTCATGTCATGCATTCTGATGTCAACTACATGCTGTATTTGCAGAATATTCAATGTCACCTCTTTGTGTTGATCTCTCTGCTAAAAATCTCTGATTACCACTTATGCCTGTAAAACTGGTCTTCTCTCCTAACTGAGCCTCTTTCAATGGGAACTATATAATCAATGTCTATTGTCAGATTTAAAATGGTGGGATTTAGGAGACAAAAAGCATGAAATACCATAGAGAATATTGAATTACACCAACTGACATATTCCTGAAAACAACCTTGTGGATATCCTTGTAATACAAGGAACTGCTCTATTATATGTGAAATAAGCTTATGTGCACATTGGAAAGCATTTTATATCATGTCAATGAATAACTTATATACAATAAACAGGTCATACACCTCAAAAGTAAACTGTCTGGACCAGCAGCTCTCACATCATAGCTTATCTTACACAATACAAAATTCTTTCTAAGTATCATCTCTGCCCCTAGACTGTTTTGCCCTTGTTCATTTTCCTTAGCATTTTCAATATGTATAAAAAGTTAATTTTATTTAAACAAAACTGTTTTCCCAGTCAAAACCTAAAACCTTGTAGCTGCATGTGCAATTAAATCACAAATCACTTTCGTTGCCTCTGTCAGCACCTTTCTCCTCTGTCCATTAGAGGAAATGGAAGAAAGTGACCATAGCACTTGAATGCAAAAAAGATTGCAGAGCCCTTGGAGATGGAAGGTCAAACAGAGAATAGCAATGTGTGAAGAAACAGAGCAGGGCACTAGGGCTACACAGATGTATATAAAGATTCTCTGCTTCTCAATAAAGTTTTTTTTTAATGCACTTCTTTGCTGTCTTAGAAAGAAAAACGTGCTCCAACCAAAATCTAACCAAAGGATAACTGGTTAAGATGCACATATTGCTCTTCTACACAAATAAAACTTTTTGGCAAGTGTAGGATTTTGCAAGCTTTTATGAAATTTCAAACTACAGAAACTTCAACTGGAAAAACATTCAGATCAAATGGGACAAGGTCCTATTAATTCCCAAATTACTTTTTAAGCCAGCAGATGGAGCACAGCAAGGTATTTAGTATGGTTTCCTTCTGTATTCTTCCTACACCAAAAAGGCACCAGAGAGTGAGGCAGACCCTGCACTGGGGCTCTGAGGGCAGAACCACTGAGCTGGAAAAACTTGTGGTCACTTTGCTGATCAGAGACAGTTTATCAGTTTAGAACCTGCACAGGAGGAAGGAAGTTCTTTCAGGCTTTTGGTGTTTCTGGGAAAGGATTAAGGAAAAAGTTCATAGTACATCAGGTTCAATTATCAAAGTCTTACAGGAATGGAGAAAGTTTGCTCTTCAGGGCACTGTCATTTCTCAATCTGACTATGGCCAGCACCACTGATAAGCAGAAAGAATGCAAGCATGTTAGAGGCAGAGGTTTCCTTTCTTCCTTTTCATCTGCATGATTGCAATTAGTCATAAGTAAGCTAATCTGCATCTGTGGCATGCTGAGTAAGGCATTGGCTCAGGAGCTACACTTCTAGTCCTGATTCAGCCACCAACTGCAGACAGAATCCAAACACATCATTTCATGTCTCTGGGCCTCAATTTTTCTCATCTGAAAAGCAGATACAGGCATCAATCTCTTGAACAAGCTGGGTTTTGAGATCTACCAATGAATGGCAGAGTGTAAGAGCTAAAAAGTATTATTTTGCTATTAAGCAATTCAATGTTTATAGGACAATCATCATAAATAGAAATTATTTAGTAGCTCCTCTTCTCATTTTTCTTAGATTACAAGATTTATTTCCTCAGCATTTTCTCTCAGGCCCTTTCCCCAGTCTATCCTGGAACAGGCTAGCCATAATTTTAACCTTTTGAGTGACAGTATACCTTAGATTGTCAAGGAAAGGCAGAGTGTGAAGAACCTGTAGCAAGCACGTTCCTATGTCCCAACACTCAGACTTCATCTTGAAAAAAATACATTTCATGCAAAACCTATCTTGAGAGAGGATCATTTGTCATAACTGAAAGACATGCAGAAGCTCAGTGTCTTAAGGAAAGAAATACAAGAAAAAACAGCCCAAGCATAGCTCATTCTGGTAGGATCATGGGTATGACTTTATGTTTGTGTTGATTCTTGCCAAAGCCAAACCAGGAGCCACATTAAGTCAAATAATTCTGTCACGATGCACATTAGCCACAGATGGCATCCCTTTATTTTTGAACAAAGACAGGCATGAATATGAACAGCATGGAATAAAACAAAGAAGTTCAAAGGGAAAAAAAAAATCAGTATTTATAAAAGAAAGCAGATGCACTTGGTGTGCAAGCCAAAACCACAACTGATTTTATCAAATACTGCAGCCCTATATTCAAGCCATGTCCCCTTTGCTGTTTGATGTATATATTCATAATATGCTGAAGGCAAAGCTGAAAGTCAAATTCTGTCCTCAGTTCCCACTCTGAAAATGTGCTGTAAGAATTCAGTGTAAATTCAATGCAGATTCAGAATTAATAATCAAAGATACGTGATGAATATATGAAGAGTAAAACCAAAATTTGAGCAGATGTCCACAAATCATTGGAACTCACAAATCTATGTTGAGTTCATTTGTTACATACTAATAACAAGAAGACTGCTCCATGCAGCCTGTGAGGGATTAGACCCCGAGCTTGTGTAACCTGGCAGGTCTACTGGGGCTATGCAAAGTATTATTTCATAAGAAGGTCTACAAATGTTTTTAATTTTTTTCCTATTTATACTAGAGATATGCTTTTATGAAAACTTACCACTTGCCATATAAAACAGGTTCTCTAAGACATCTGATGTGTACATTAAAAAGTCACACAGTAATACTGTGTGATAATGTAATGACAACACAAATGTTAGAAAGAAGTATAAAATACTAAACATAAACAGTGAGGGGAGCTGAAAGCTACCCATATATTCAAGAAATATCTCAGAATCAGAGTCAGACAGCTTTGCAAAAATTTTATAAACAACTCTGCACAGTAAGCTATTACATTCTACATTGTATAAAGTTACATTTAATTAATGCTTTATACTAATCTGGATAAGGACAAAGTTTTTCTTTAGCAAAAATAATCTGATTCATAATTGCTCATCTGTCATCAACCTTTCTCAATCTCAAAACAGAGCATTATATGAAGGAACAAAATGCTTAACTTCAAGCAAAAAGTGTCCATTATGAACATTCATGTCACCAATGGGAACAGGTTGATTGATACAGGTGATCTTTCACCATAGGTGGATGTGGGTCGTGTTCTCTACATCAAGATAAAAATAAGTATGTAAGGAATAGTCCATTGCATTCAATATTTCTATGACTATTTCTCCAAATAAAATGTTGTTCTAAGTGGGAAGTTGAATGCCCACAAGGGTTTCTTTAATTCCAGGTGATATATATGTTTGAAATTTGGGCAGCTTTTCTTGAAAGCAAAATCTTGTTTTACCTAAAGAAAGTGATAAAAATATAAATATGTATTATTTTAAATTGACTGGCATTTTTCAGAATTGGTGTCAATCACTTTTATGAATTGATTACATACTGAGTTACTCAGAAGTAGACTTATTTCCTTTCTTCACAAAGAATGCACTGACTATGGGCAAAATTAGATACTTATGGTGTACTTGTAGTATTGCCAGAATACAAACTTCCATCTGGATTACAGAAGTCACAGGCAGTACAGAGAATATAATTTTGTGTTTTCAGCGAAAGAGGATCATTTTAACTGTGTGAAAGGATTTCACAATCTTTACTACCAAAAAGAAGTTTGACTTTAGAAACAAAAAATACAAATATGCAGAATACAACAGCCCTGTGAAGGGCATGAATCAGCTTGCTGAATTATCTTGAGCAGTAATATTTATTTGCTTTGTCAAAGGCGTTGTGGGGGTCAGCTGGTTTTGGCACACTTCACAGAGAATGTATACTATACACAGATGATCCCATGGAAGAAACAATTGCTTTCTGCATGCTGTAAGAAGCTAAGTTTCATGTGAAAGTTGTGGACAAAGCTGCTCTTACGTTGACATGCTGTGTTACGTGCGTTATGAAGCCATAAGGTTACCCAGAACATCTATTCCATTCCCCATGCAGAATTTCCAAGCCCTGTACATTTTCTGACTCTTCATAAACCACACAGTTAGTGTCATGACAAGTTAAAATGCAGGGAAAAATGCTGCACATTGTGAAATAAAGAGAAATACAGACTGTGAGAGACTGAGCAGGCAACGTGAAAGGAAATAAAGATAGACACTTACATATCCGTCATCACAAGGGCTCATAGAGTAATATCCCTTTATAGGCAAACAGACACACATTAAAATAAAGAAGATTAAAAAAAATAAGTTAACAGAAATAAATCACAGAGAAATGCATAGTTCAAAAAAACCTAAAAAACAATAGAAATTCAAAATTAACAGATTATTAGCTTTGAAAAGTATAAACATGTTCTCCCAATCCTTATACTTCTATGTCTTAGAACTGCAATTGCTGTGTCTCTTCTATGATATATTTGGAAGTTCTCCTCTCAATACCTGGCAAACACAGTCTGCACATTGTTCCACACTGTCAGAGTCAGAACACAGAAAGACTCAATACCTGGCAAACACAGTCTGCACATTGTTCCACACTGTCAGAGTCAGAACAGCTACATAGAAAGCACTGACAAATTGACAGGAATATATGACCTGTGCTGCTCACTCCACTGGGCAGCCAAGAGAGAAACCCTGAACATGGCCTGGATCCGAAGACCTCAGCTCCTGAGAAAGCACCTGCCACTATTCTGCACGCTTGCTTTGACTGGAGTTTCTGACCAGCACATAACAAAGACAGAGAGACAACTGAAGGTGTTTCAGCAATGTTATCAATTCTTCATCCCAAAAGGTTCCAGGGATAAACTAAGAAAGTCTCTGGAGGGAAACCTAGTATGTAGTTACTAAAATAAAGAATGGTGCTAATTCACATTTGAGTAGTTTAGCACAAAATATGCCATGTTCTCCTTAAGTAGACTAAAATACTTGGAACAGCTTTGTATCTAAAAAGAACAGTCTTAATTAAAAATAAAAGTACACAGTTCAACACAATGAAATAAGACCAACATAAATTATTTGCCTTTTTGTGCAAACCTGCCAGTACTTACTTTAGAGGACATATTTGTACAGATGAATAAGCATATAAACACCCTATTTAGCAGGCTGCTCTTTAACAGACATATACAGCCTTGCACAGAAGACATAAGAAACTTGTCACTTCACTGTGAGCAGAAAATAAAGTTATTTTTATTCTTTAACCAATTTAAAAAATCTGACATTCTTCTTTTTATTACCATGATACTTAGAATTCCCTGATGTGAACAATTACTTTACCTTTCATGGTGCTATACACACATACAGACAATTCCTGACAAAGACAATTTAAAATTAAATTTAAGACAAAGGATGACATCAATAGAGACCAATAAGTGAGCAAAAGAAACCAGGAGATAAACTGCATCATGATGAGAGACATTTCAACACATGCACAACCTGAGCCAGTGAAAATGGATGTAGGAGGCATCAAGACAAAAGGTGACATTAAAATAAAGTTTTAACATTAAAGGAAATCACAAAAGGTTGGATCAGACAACCTTTCAAAGTTCCTTCCAAACGGGGCTAATTCTATGATTTGAGGACAGTAACAGGAAAAGTTTGTGGAAACCCCTACTGAAGTCAATACCTTACCCTTAAAGAGTTCATGTAAACAGAAAAACTTGCAGCAACTTGTGGAAAGGGCATTACATACTGTATCAGCAGGGAAAAATTAACTTCTCCTTGCCTACGTGAAGAGGTAGGCTTGTTTCTTCTTTTCCATACATAAATGAGAACATATAAAATAATCCCATGGATAGAGATGCAGAAAACTGATTGTGCCATCCAAAGAAAAGCTCACTTAAGAGTAGATGCTGTTTGCTGCAATGTGCACTTTATTTTTAAATGAAAGAGCAAACATCTGCATAATAATGCCTGGTGAATCCACTCTGAGTGGTTTAAAGAGTGATTAAAAAAAAACAAAATAAAAACCTTCTGTTACCCTCATCCTAGGTTTCATGTGGTCTGCTGGTGCAGACATTTCATAAGTAAGAAACAGAATACTTGCCACCAACCATTACAGCTTGATGGCATGTGCACAGTTGCAGTAAAAACCATGTTTGAGGAAAAACACCCAAAGAGTACAAGAAAAATAGGAGCCCATAGTAGTCATTACAACTATAACAACTCCCAAAAATAATAAAAAAGAAAAATCTTTCTTGTTCACAGTTTGTAAGTGACAGTTTAACTTTCCAGAGGAGCTAGTAATTTTGTCCAGTGACAGAACTTAAAAAACCCACCCCACTACTTTTCCACAGCTTCAAGAGTGGTATCAAAAGAGACCCAAAACTTGCAAGGGATATTAATTCACCTAATTGTAGCTACAGGTAAATATGATCAAAATGAATAGCAGCAAAAACATAATGGGCATTTATTCTATTCCATGACACAGGTGAATACATGCAAACAATTTTACAGCTTTCAGGTCCCAGAAAGATTCTCCAGTGGTTTACACCCATCTCTACTATTGGCAGAAAGTGCACATATGAAGAAGCAGTTCCTGTTTTGCCTGTAATCCAAAACTTAGAGAACCTTATTACCTTATCCCTAATCCAAAATATTCCAGGAAGGTGTACAGATTATTTCAATCAAAAAAACCTGGTTTTGGGTTTCAGACTTGAGCCTGTGCTACTTTTGGTGGAGTGTGAATGTACTGTGTTTGTGATAAAAAGCCAGAATCACCTTGGCTTCATGATGAGTATTGAACAGAAAACTGCAGGCATCAAAAACTACAACCCCTGCTTCTTATCCACCAGACAAATCAAGACTAGAAAAGGAAAATGGTAAAAAAAAAATTAAAATTTTACTTAAGAGTGTTAAAAATATAAGGAACTGTGATAGTCCTGTAATAAATTGCTGTACTTGAAAGTATACTTTTCAAATTTACCATTACCCACATCAGTTCCCTATCCAAAGGAACACTAAAAAGTCAGGAATCTATTAACTCCTCAAATAAATGTTTTCTTCATTTCTTCAGCTGGTAAGACCTGCTGCTCTGGCCTTCTTGTCTTAAATCCCCACCTTCTGCTCTGACAATTCTCTCAGGTTTCTTATCTCCCAATTCAGGACCACACATGTCAAATGACATGATGGAAGGTGGAGATAACATTCAACTGCAGCTAAGAGAAAAACCTTAGGGTAAAACAGGGCTTCAGAGGCCTTGGAAAGGTCTCCTAGCTGTAACACAGTAGTGTGACCTCTCGCCCACTGCACACAGCAGATGCATCCTGTTAATGGATGTAGATCAGGCTCATGAGCTGACCCAGGAAGTCACAGAGCTGGCAAGAGACATAGAGCTGTTCTGCAAAAGAATGAGATCCAATCCAGCTCACGAGAGAACACAGAGCTGACACCAGAAGGCCTTGCTAAGTAAGATTTCAGGGTATGATTACAATGGAAAACTCTTTTGGCTGTCATTGCCTCAGGTCTTAAAGCCAGCTCAGTAAGACTTGCCTGTGGGGTTTGTTCTCCTGATACAAATTTCTTCCAGTTTGAAAGGACAGGCCTTCAGCCATGGTGGGGGCAAGCCAGGAAGCTGATGTTTGCATATTAACAACTGATACAGGCCACCTTTATTGTAAGTTAAAAGCCTGAGACCTGACAGCTTTCTACTACACAATATGACTTTCTTCAACATTAAAAGTTGAGCACAATGTACTGGGAACAAAATCAACTTTGCATACAAATAATGCTACCAAGGTTATAACCCAAAGTATACTCCTTAATTTCCTTGGACAATACTTCATTTTGCTTACAGTACTCATATAATCCTCCTTCCCAGTGTAACTAAAAACTACCAGTGTGGCTGATTTAACAAAATATACTCTAAAGCTCAAGTACAGATCTCAGAGAACGAGGCAGTTTTAGCATTTTCTGCTCTCAGAACCTGATCCAAAACCTGGACTGGCTGTGAACTCAAGCACTTCCTCTTTCCAAACTATGTAATGCATGTCCACTCATACCCATACATAAATAACAGTGGTAGAAATTTAAGGCTGTGTGACAGTACCAAAAAAAAGTCATTTTCTTGCTAATGATTCCTTTTTCTGCTCATTTATTTAGAGATATTGATCCAGCAGAACCAATTTATTTCAGGGCCTTGTCCTGACATTGGTGATGTCAGTGAGACAGGATCATCCTGAACAGTCAAGGTGAAGCGGGGAAAAAAACCCCTAACAACCGACAAACCACCATATTTAATTGCTGATAAAACTCTTTAGACAACGACTGTTTTTTTAAGCCTCTCACTCGTCTTGCCTACAGAATGAGGTAAGATGATGGTAAGGTAAGGATGAACAAAGTAGCTGCCCCTCTGCTAGTCTCTTCTCTCTGTAATTATGCAGCTGGTTGCCCCTTACAGGAGGAGGTTTGTGAAATGGAGTAGCTGGAAAGACCACACTCTAGCGCCTCTAAGTAGTTATGGGCAAAAAGTGAATGAATCTTCCAAGAGAAATCCAGCACAGATGCTGTGAACTCGTGCTACTACTTAGTCTGGGTCACGGTGCCTCCAGCTTTATTCCAAAACTCATGCAAAAACCTGAAACCACTTAAGGGTAGAACAATAACATCTGAGTGTATAACAATGAAGCACTTAAATCCTTGAAGAAAAAGTAATGGCATGCCTGAGTGGCCTAATGGCAAATAGTCAGAATTTAGTTCATCTCATCTGGCTTCCTGCATCAACAAAGCCAGGGAGTGGTTAGAAATATTCTGGGATGAGAAAGGAGTTCTTTTCATAAAACAATATCTATTTTTTCTTCTAACATTTATTTGTGTTTCTACATGTTTGCTATTCATGTATAAAACCAGAACTCTTTACTTGGGAAGTAAACAAGAAAATATGATCAAGAGGGGACAAAATTATAAGATGAGGGAACCTTATTATGATGCAGTTAATGTCTATATGCAAAGACTGTGATTAGCCCTCCAAAACTTGGCTAATGCCTCAGAGAGCCTGTGTGCATCTGCTTATAGAAACAACATGAGAGCTCAACCACAGTAGCTGCTAGAACCTCAGTGTCAAGGCGTGACCTAAACCAGTCTAGAAACCCTTAATCTAAACACTCTCAGGGCTATAACTGGACTGGTCCTTCACTAGAGAGCTTGGCTGTCACAGCAACTACCTCAAATAGTCTGGATAAATGAGCCACAAAGTCACACAGAAATAGCTCTGCTAGTATATGTGGAAAAAGCCTAGTATAAAAATAGATAAAACTGTGCCAGGGGAACACAGCTTTGCTCAGGTTAACCTAGTTAAAAGAGACAAAAATTTACTTCCAGCAGGGAAAAAAATCTACCACCAACATATTCTCTTTCTCTAACCTATCTGCATAGCTGGAGACTGTGTCAAAGTGGCCATAGTGCCATAAGTCTAGTGGCAAAGGCACTTTTGGAGCCGAAATGCTTTTAGAGACACTTTTAGGGAAGCAGAAATCAGAACCTTGCATAAGGATGACACTCTTCCCTCTGCCCCTTTCCTAAAAGGGTCAAGAGACTGGAGGATCAATGTATGATAAAAAGAATAGAAATAATCAGCAAAACCCTGGGCAAATGTAGCACCTTGAAAGCACAGGAGAAAAAGAGAAGTCTTGATGCAAGCAGAAAGCAGGAACAGACAGAAGAGGGCATGTGGCTGTACAGAATGGGTGATCTCAGTACAGGGAAGGAGAAGCACACATAACTTCAATATCAGATGGCAAAAATACAGAATACCACTGAGGTACCTAAAGTATTATCTCAAAAAGCCACTGACAAGGAAAGAGGAAAGACCTCTGAAAGGTGTTGGTTCTGAAAGATGGGGTGGGAGGAGGGACATTAGAGGATGGGAGATGAGATAAATTATGGATATGATAGAAATCTGAGGAGAGGGGAGCAGCAGACAGAAGCTAATATTGAGGTAGCAGACAAACAGATGCTGGTTCCTTCCTGAAACCCTGAAACAGCAGCTTTTGCAGGCTGCATAAGAGTGCACCTCCTGAACTCATGGCAGGTCAGAGAAAGGAGTTCTGACCATTAACAGGAAAGTGCGGGCATTTAAAACAGCCTGAAGAGCAATGAGGAATAATACTTATCTCTGAAAATATTAGCACATAGAAAAGAAAAGGAAGCATTTGTATTATCTCCTTATCTTACTCTAGCAAATTTTCAAGAAGAACAAAATGTACCCATAGCATCATTGTTATTAAAAACCTTGGCAGGTTTTTAATAAGAAGCAGGAATTTTATTTTCTTCTGCTTTTCCTTTGACACCTCACTAAGTTCTCGTGCTACAAAGTTAAGTACACATGAATGCCTGCCATGGCAAAAACAAAAAGCACAGTTCATGATTTTGGCTTGTCTTTGTAAAACAGTGGTACACAGTATTTTCTTAGTAAAACGTTTTGATGCACTTTTATGATTAATGCGTATTTAAAGCATTTTGTTAGTATTTTAACAGACACAAATTTTACTGTCCTCACAATAACAGAATTAACCATACTTACACAGCTATAAATATACAACCAGGTCATTGACCACCATCTGAGATCAACAAAACAATGTACTGCCATATTCTTATACAAGGTTGAACACATTATGTTTTGTCTTTCCCATTAGAGAACATTTATTGTTCTATATGTAGCTTAAGTAGTATTGTCTTTTAAGACAGTAACTGCAAAAATCCCAAACAATTATACTTACAGTTCCAGGCCTTGTGAAGTCAATGTTGTGTGTTACAGTTTGTTTCAAATGATTGTTAAACAAGCAAGCACAAACACTTTGAATATACTCTGGTGTAATCTAAAAATTAGGAAACAAAATGAGAACAGGATTACATAAAACTTACACTTTCTACCAGACAAGCATTTCTATATTAAAGGCTGTTTCTTGGGGTTTTTTAAAGAGTAAGAAATCACACACCTGAGGCTCACTGACACAAGCACAAGATCTACACACAACTACCATCCTGTACAGAAGTTTAAAAAACTGTAAATTCTCTCCATCTGGGAATTGTTATGCTGTTCACCAGACTAGTGCTTAACACTTTCAGAGAGTCTAGGAAAAACCAGATTTTGTCACACCTCTATTTGCAAATAGATTTTTGTGAATCAAAAGGTTAAAAATCAAATCAAACTAAAAAATGAAGCAGTTTTGAGCTTGAACAATGCTGACGTGTTGTTTACCTAAAGAGTAGAACTTACACAACTGCCTTGTACAGCAGAGAGAATAAATATGAATTACACAATACAAAACTTTGTTTTTCAATGCAAAATATCTCAGTGGGTTTAGTGTTTTCATTTTGGGAAATCTACATTTCAACAGAACAGCTTAATTTCAGGAGAGTTATTACCTTCCCCAGAAGAGAGATGAGAGGACTGAGATAATACGTCTGTATTATAGAAGTGCAACTGGGGGGACACTTCTGATATTCCCAGACCTTCCGCAGGACAATGAACCCCTTCAAATTCAGAACGTTGTAACTTCACTATCACTTTATTCAGTACTCAACTCCACTTTGGATTCGGCAATGACAGAATCCAGCATCCCTAACGGAAGAGCACCCTCAGCTGGACACGCTTGGGAAGCACCAAACGAGTGCCACGCACAAGGCTCGCAAAGGAAACTGAACAACATCCGCAACCAAAGAGAACCAGGGTCCGGCTCCCGACCACAGAGGGTAATTGGATATCGCCTGGAGAGCATGGAGGCGTGAAATGGGAGGCAACAAATGAATGACTGTGATTTTATTGTTGAGCAGATACCATCCCTAATCTGCTGTAAAGCATAATCCACCCAAAAACAAATTCTTCCCTGCAGTAATAGTGAACAGTAATCCCAGAGCAGAGTAACCAACCACATGGTGTTCATGCTGATGACAGGAGGAAGGTACATATTGACTCTTCAGCAGGCAGCACAGGAAATGCCAGGTCATTCTCCCTGCTAACAATTCACAGTTCCTTTAAAAGCACCTAGAGGCCACTAACATCTGCCATAACAGCCTTCAGGTTACACAGAACTTAAGCTCACAGAGGAGCACAACACATGAAAAAGACAATCAACTTCATATTAAAAATACTCCTAAGAAAATTGTACCTCCTCCACTTACATACACGTGGCTCATTTCACATAATGAATAACTCATTCACTCCTATCTCCCTGTTCCATTTATCAATTAAATTAACAAGTCCAGTTTAGCAGAACAGAGAGCAAAGCTTTTCCTTACCAAAATTTTGGATAAGAAGATTATTTCCACTACTGTGGAATTCAAAACAGACGTGACTGAAATTTTAAACACAGTTGTTGATGGGCTGGACTGCAATCAGTAATCACCAAAGTGCCCTCAAATAACTGCTGCTGCCAAAGCTCAAAAGAGGATTTGCACAAGAGATCTGCGATGTCTTCTGAGTTGGTGATAATTTTTTCAAGATTTTTGAGCCAGCAAAATTCAACCCACTTTTTGTACTTATTTTATGCTCCTTCACCAGGGCAATGGGAGAACAGCTCATCCTAAGTGCTGTGTTTCATCAGTAAAGAGCCACAGCTCTAACAGAAATGCTCGTAACTATGAAGCTTAATTCACCCTTTGGTCTCCATTTTCTGGGGGTGTGGAAGCAAGTGCACATCTGGGTCATCTCTTACCATCTTGCCAGTGACTGTGGCCTCCAAAGAATCCACCAGCTCTGCAGTGACTTCAAGGAGGCCACGGTAGTCCATCTGCAACTTGCGCAATCGTTTCAGGTTGGTCATGTACCTGTGCTCACGCTTCACTAACTGCTGATGAAGATGTTGCATCATTTCTGTCAAGAGAATAATAAAAAAATTAATAGCATCACCTAGTCAAAGAAAAGGACAAAAGAACCCACAAGCATTTTTGCTGCTCTGAAGGGACAGCCTCAATTTCTGAGGTGTGGAATTTGCCTACAAGGATAATTTCATGCCTCTAGGAAGATTCCATTTAATTGCAACACCTACGAGTATTTATTAAGCCTTAATTGTCCAAAGAAGCAACTGCTTCACAGTTACAGTAGCATTACAACTATAAGGCAGTAAACATCACTGAATATATTTGTGAAGAAGATTATCCATTACTTAGTGCTTAATGGTAAACTCTGTCACTCACTTTTGATGTTCTCAGTTTCTGAAAATAACTCAAATTTGTCCTTCATTTCTATCTGAATAATAAAAAAGTTACATTTCTGATACATTTTGTTCCTTCGGGTTCAATTACTTTTGAGACAAAAGCAAACTGAGTACCAGAATCTGTGTACTCCACCCCAGTCTCAGATCTAGCCAAGCCAATGTTCTGCATGGAACTGGGCACTGAACCTGGAGCTGTGGTCCACAGCGCAGAATTCTGTGACCAGACAAAACTGTGAAGGGAGGCACAATAATTCTATTGTTACAGCTGATGTCGTGTATTTTGTTAGAACATTATGTTTTAAATTAGTTTGCTGAAAATCCAGTACTGCCCTAGTGCTGTGAAAGTGGCATCGGGCCCATCTGCAAACAGACACAATATTTACCATAGGAGGTTTTGTTAAACAGTGGGAAGGAACCAGCTTGACTGTGGAGTTTCAGACAAAAGTAGGATTCCCTCTCACAGACTGAAAATCTTTCTGGATTTAAGAAAAGTGTTCTAAACAGCCCAATATGACACAGTTTATTTCACTGATAAACGACAAGCCACAGAACCTGTTCAAGCCCAGCAAAATGCACTTAAAAAAACCCAGAACAATAACCAAAACACCACTATAACAGTAACATTAAGCAATCCTGATGAAGCTGCTAAGCTTTTTACAATTCTGTAAGCTGTTACACTAATCTCAATCAATATTAACTTAAAAATCAGTAGAGTTAAGAGGACTTCCAAAGACAATCAAATTATTCAGCCTTGATGATAATAATTCAACTTTGATTTTGTTTTTATTTCACAGCCATTACTGTTAAACTGCTACCACAGCTTTAATATGATACAGCTTCAAAACAAGAATATTTTTCTAAACTTAAGAAAGATTCTGAGAGCAACCACTGCACAAAACTAGCTACTCCAGCACTTTATTCTGTTGCCTAGATGAGCAAATGGGAATATATTTTTATTTAACTGTGAATAAATTTCCAGTGGACATATCTAGAGCGTGACTTTCACTCAGAGGAAAGTTGGAAGTACCAAATCACAAAGCATAAACCTTCTCAGAGTTTGCTTACTTTTCATAGCCCAGTGGGTAGAATTTCCAGTGATGAAAATATGTCTTCCAACTGCAGTCAGCAGGAAAAAACTACATAACCAAAACTCAATGCAGCTCATGAACACTAGTCTTGGAAATTCAGAAACAGGGTCCAATTTTGCCTCTTGGCTGTTAAAACCAGGGATTTTCAATAATAAACTGAGAAAAGGGTGTCAGAAAGGAATCACAAAGTCTTGGCATATCTTGCAATTTTGTATCACTATCTTCTCACACCTAAATAATTTTACTGAAAAGGGGAAAGTCTCATGAAAGCTTCTCCTGCTGAAAGAGCAGGAATCTCTCATCACAGGCAAACAGCTGTTCCAAGTTCAGACAGCTGCTGGAAGAGCTGGTCCTGTGCTGCCCCATTCCCTTGTTGCATTCCTGCCATATCCCTTTAACAGCATTCATTTAGACAAACCAGGGAGCCACCATCCCAGGTAAAAATTAGTATTAAATTCCTTGTTTAAAAGGTTAAATCATTACCATCCCAGTCCAGATTTGGTAAAAGGAAATGGTACCTTTCAGAGGAATTTCAGCTGACATTTATGTCATCTTGCAGCAGTGATCAAACTGCACCATTACAGGAATCAGAGTAACACTGTGGCTTCTCTCTTTCCCAGACACAACTCCCAGCACTGACAAATGCTTTGTACATGTGATAAGCTTATCAAGGACGGAAAAAAAAGCTCTGGACCAAACACCTACCAGAAACATTATTCATATGCTGATGTAAAGAGGGAAAAATACAGAAGACTGACTTCCTGGTGTTGGAAGATACAAGACACAGTAAAGCTTGTGACTCTGCCAAATGAAGATGCTGGCACTGGGTATCATCTGAACTACTGCATGTTTCTACCAGAACTCTTGCTTGCTCTCTCATGTGTGTAATTGTCAAGTCTTCTAACTCCAGTTCCTACCAGCAGCCAAAGAGTTACACATATGCACTTAATTCCATGATAACCTTTTCTCTCTAAGTGAGAGATTTCTTTACAACTTACCTACACCTGAAACACTTGTTTCCTGAACTTGTGCTTGCTCTGTCTCTTTCTGTCTAATCTCAGCCCACCTTCACATACTTGTCCAGAAGCACTGATCCAGCCAGCTGAGCTCCTGCACACAGTGAAGCAGAGCTCTGAGCAGAGAAGCTGCAGGTCTCAGGAGCTGCTGTTGGACACCAAACCTTGCTCTCAGGAGAAGCAGGAGTTTCCTTCTTGGTTAAAAATTACTACCCATATTCTAAACTGACATTTTTACACATAGTCAGACTTTAGCAAATCTCTAGACAAGTAGATCACACTCCACCTTCTCTAGTGCAGGAGCCTGACACACTTCCACCACTCTCCCCCTTCCCAAAACAGTGCAAGAGTGGCTGAGAACTCATCCACTGATTTGTAATGAGGCAGTGAAGGCAACAGCAGCTGAACACATTTCCAAATACTTCATTCCCTCAGTTCCTGCTAGCAGAGAGGACACAAAGAAGGTCTGAGGCTCTCTGTGCAAGATGCCAACCATTCTGCAATTTTTTCCTTTCCAGCCAAACTGAAAACATATGGGAGAACTGTAAGTTAAGCACAGCTGCCACACAAATAGCTTTGGAAGTCATACAGGAACTGAAATTTTTTAGCAAATGGATAAGAACCCAAACTGTAGCAGGTAAGGCAGGCAAGGCAGGCAAACATACTGAACACTCCAGGACACCCTCAAAAGCATTTACACCACCCCACCCAAACTTGAAGTACTTCAGCATGTCAGACTGATGACTGGCAACTATTTACAAAAGGTGTTTTCAGGGCTCTGTCATACTGCTTTCATTCATGTGTTGCCTATAAATTTCCTTTGCATTTCTCCTTCACTGATAAAGTAAATATTCTCCAGCAGCAAGTAAGTGCTGTGGATCCCATTTGATGTGAGCAGGATACTGCAAAAATAACCTCTTGGATCCAAAACCTTCATATGAGACAGTCCTCAAATAACCTTTATGAAAAATCCAAACTGACTCAACCTCCAAGGCATATACCAGATCTGCAAATTCAAGCTGACCTGCATGAATTGAATTCCATGACAGTCCCTGCACAAAGCACAGAACCTGCCCAAATTAAAACTAATTAGGCCCCAAATAAGTCAGGTACAATTGCACAGTTATTTCCTTTCAATAAGAGCATGGGACTATTGCCTTCAGGAAAGTTCTCCACAAGGAAAAAGTGTAACTTCTGGAAAATAAAAATCCAAGAGACCTTTCTATTATTCAGTGAAAGTCTCATGCAAGAACACAAAGAACAAAAGAACAAAGAAAACACAAGGAACTCACACTGGGAGAATACCTAACTATCTGCCTAATTCAATCTACAAAAAGTAAATCCTCAGGATAAACATACAGATAAAATAACTCAAGAGGAAAAATAATTTTAAGAATCCAACTGGTCTCATATAAATCCCTAACTAGAAAGTATATGCAGACAGTCAAGTGAAAAAAATCAATGAAAAGTAGTTGGAAGCCTAAGTTCTATTTATTTAACTGATTTTTAAAAGGCACATGTTTCAAGTGTTATCAGCATCTAACAGGATTCTGTGCTGAAATTATTATTTCTAAAGGGCCACAAGTCACACATACACATTTAAGTGTGTATAAGCAGCTTACCTCAAAATGTAACGTAACACATCAGCACATCAGCCAGTCACACTTAAATGAACACATTCTTATTCAGGATATACTAATATCCACTATTTTAGGAGGTACTATTTAAACAAAATGAGTAAATAGGAACAAAAAATCAACCTTGTCTAAGATCATCAAACAGTCATCAGAACAACTGAATGAGACATAAAACCTGGAAGCAAGGGAAAGGATCTGAGACAACTTACTTTCATCAGAACTAGAAAAGGAAAGCTGGTATGCACTTTGTATGGAGCTCTCCACTGGTTTTTACCATGTTTCAGAACAAAATAGATGTTTAATACAAATCCCACTACTAGGTCCCTTCCCATTTCTAGCCCATATTCATTGACTGCATGAACCTTACTGAGCTCAAAAAGCTATCAACAGCTATCACCAAAGCTGGGGTCTGAATTTCCAAGGACTTTCTGCTATGCATCACTAGCTTCCCCACCCCTGCAGGTAAACCTCCCACTACCTTCACAGCCCCTGACAATTTTACAGGACATCCTTACCACAGCCCAGTATTTACCTTTGTTGCACTGTCCACTCTCCTTCTGTTGCACGAGTAAAAGCAGATCAGGAAAATGTGCACCTTTTCAGTGTTTGTTCTAGAGACTCAGAATGAGAATCTCAACCAAGTCAGATATTCCTACTATCCCAGCAAACAGCAAGTGCCTGATGCTCTACAGAATACATAAATCAACAATAAATACACAAAAATCTCCTAAGTGCTCGATTCACAACATTGCCTAGGGACTTGAGATCTTTTGCTGACCTACGAGTGACCAAATAATTTCTAGAACCCTTAAAAGCACTGGAAAATTTTCAGCTAGTCCCTAAGACTAAAAGCTTTAGAAATGCCAAGAAAGAAGTCAGGTCAGGTTGGTGCCTTTGGGTATCCTGTATTTATACATGGAAACAAAGAATGATCACATGATAAGCATGTAGGTTCATATGGATCTGTACATGGTCTTTATATGACTTTTTCAAAAGTTTATTTTTGAATGTGGAATATAAACAACGTTTCCTGTCATAAAAACACTGAACTGCAAAGTTACTGCAATTCTGCAATAAATCTTAGCAGCATACTTTTGCAATAAATTATACTGCCTCTTTACAGTATTTCTAATAATCTGCAAAGTGTTTTCTTAGAAGGATACAAATATAGTGAGAAGCCGAGGAGTCTGTCTGGCTTTAAGAGCCAGAGACAGGAACGTTTCCAATCTTGTCCTTAAATCCAGTGTCCAAGAATCCTTGAAAAGAAAAACAAATAATGACAGTTGTTCACCAAATATGTACACTCTGCAGAAAGCACTGCTTGGATCACAGCAACTTCCCACTAGTAAACAAGGCAGCCAGCACTGGATTTAAAAAATTTTCCCTTCACTGTTACTGATGCGAATGTGTTTGCCCACTCCCCATGAAAGCATACAGAAGTCAGAGGGGAGTTCAGTATTATTCCTAGATAGGAGTTCTACAAACATAAAGCATCTTTATTTCAAGTACAAAACTGTCACATAGTGTTGGTGGCTTATATACACACACAACAACTGCCCTGAAAATAAAAGCACCTTTAAAGACAAGCAACTTGAGAAAAAATTATTTTCACATGTATTAAATAGAGTACAAAATTTGTAATTTTGCACTGCTCAGTTTTCATCCTTTGCTCCTAAAAAGATCTGGGAATTCCAAGTTTTGTCAATAACTACTGCAAGCATCATGACATGACACTGGTGGGTACAATGTTTCTAAAATAAGGATTTAGAGAAAAACAGCCAATGCAGGAAAAACAGACCAGCAGAACAGACCAAGAGCATTAACTGGAATGCTGTCCTCTGCCTGACGTAGTGTCTCACACGCACAAGAAAATAACAGTTAAGGGAAAAAGTCAAACTACACCTCATGTCTTCTATTTCAAGCCTTCAGTGAAGGTGGCTTCTGCTTGAGGAAAATTCAGTCAGTGAAAAAAAAGTTCTGTCTTCCAACAAGTACCAGGAGCTCCCTAAATTTACTGCTGTATACATGTATGTTGCAAGCTGTTCTCACAGCTCAGATTTGCCCTTATTTCACCATGCTGGAGAGTGTACAAAATTTACTTGTTGCATTTACCAACTCAGTATCCAGACAGTGGTGTACCACAGCACGCTGTATATTACCAAAGGAACCTTGTCTCCTGCAGAGAGGAGTGCATATGATTTTTCAAGATGCATTACACAAACTGACAGGAACTCCAGCTATATAAAGCATCAGATGCCTGAGAAAAATATATGCCACAAGAACTCCGCTTTGTAAACTAGTGACTCACTGCTGCTCTTTCTCAAACATAAAACAATCTGTGTTTCAACACTAACATGGAATGAGTTGAACAATTCCCACAAGAAAATATGAGTGAGTGTGGACTAAGAGCTTGGACAGTGGGTTACTCAGAATAAACCTGAGGATCTCGTCTTAGATAACACATTAAAAAAATGCTGCTAAGTATAATTAAAAAAGAGTAGTCATATTCCATCTCTGAGGTAAACCAGTCTATCTCATTATTTATAGCTAGTCCCAAAGGAAAATGGCAGCATATGCCTTTTTTTGGTGTTAAACTGGAGCTCCTCATCAGCTGGTACATCCAAAGCCAGCCGTAAGGCAAGTATCACTTAAGCTTTGATTTGGTATCAAAAGCAGTGTGGCAGCAATGCAGGCTGAAGACATCTCCTTGCACCAGACTGGCTGCCCACAGCTGCTCAGCCAGGCCAGCACAACTGTCCACATGGTCAGGGAAGCATTCAGAGCAAATAACTCTAAAAAATACTACACACACTTGACAAACAATTTGTGTAGGTATGTGAGTGTAAGTCACCACAAAACAATCTCTGCCACACAGATACTTACCTGGAAAAGTTCTTTAAATGAAGGATGTACCATGGGGTTTGGAACAAAGGGCAAAGCATAGAAGGGAAGAAACTCTGTGGTCTGGCTCAGTGCAGCTCCTTTTGTTTCCAGGTATGCCTTGAAATAAGAAATCCTTTTGTCAAGTTCGGCCTTGTCCTAGGAAATAAAGCAGCAGATTTAATTTAGAAAATTGACATTCTGAATGTACTGAATGTAAAGCTGGCAAATAAAAGAAGAGACCCAGATTTGAAATTCCAGTATATTTGTTATCTAAAAACCATTTAACTGGAGAACATACTGTATGTTTTCATCAGTCATAAAGGAAAATGTAAACCAATGCTGTTGTTTCTCTCAACCAGGTCCAAAGAAAGAAGAGATAGGGAATTGCTTTCTGCATGTAAATTATTCCTGTTCACTTCAGGCTAGATTTTTAAAGAAAAATGCCATTGCTCCACTCAGGGCAGAGAGAAAACACATACTTCGGAGATGCTTTATTTCAGTGGTAAGTGCAGAAACAAAAAAATCCACTTGCACAGCAGTGGGAAGTGGAGCTGGCACACAGAACAGAACAAAAGCTCCTTAGAGCCTGGAAAACAGACTGCAGGAATCTAAATACTCCTGTAGCAGCTGACAGGTGAAGGCCAGGAGCTATTAAGCCCTGGCTGATCTGGCTGAGTCCAGGCTTCTTAAATGTCTCTTCATCATAAAAGTCCCATGTAACAGAGATTTTGTTTTAAAACATCTTGGGATTTATAGTTCTCAGCATGATATATTGAGCTGGCCAAAACTGAGCTTTGCCATTTAATCAGAAATTAGTGTATTTCAACTCACAATTTCAGTGCAAACTCCAAGCAAAAATTAAATGTTTTAAGAATCTGCTATGGTCTACAATTACAAGTGTGAAAATATTGCCATTTTGGTATTTTCTGAGTTGAAATACTTCAGGAACTTTGGGACAAGGACAGCTCCAACTTCCACCTCTGTACTCCACAATACAAAGGATCTGGCTGAACTAAAATGCAGACTGTGGCCAAAACTGGATACATACTTTTGGAATGATTATTAGAAAATATCCCATCCTCATCCACACTAAAGACAAATAAATGAAGTAAAACAAACAACAGCAATCTGAGGTTTGAATTGTGAACTAAACTTACAGGCTTTCCCATAGTTTGTTTCAAGAGGAAGGTGGCAAAGTAGATGTGGAGATAGAACTCCAGGTTCTGAGCAACTGGATCACTGTCATGGACTGAAGACAAAATATGCTCCTCCCAGAGCTGGAAGAAAACTTTCTGATCACCATCTTCAAATGCTGTAAGCATTTCTTCCTGTGAAAGGGATAAGCATCAAATGAAAACCCAAACACAGAAGAGCCACATCTTCTCAGCAGTAGGTTAGTGAATGAAGAATTCCAGTGCCATCTGAACACTTCCAATTAAAAGTTTTATTCACAAACGTCCCACCATTCAATGACCACCCAAATGTTCTTTCTTCACAGATCTTTAATATCTTTGAGAGCCTGTATCAACCATCAATACAAGAAGCAAAGTCCACATTTTAAGCATATCAGTAAAAAAGTAGTATAAATCAAAACTAGTGCCTTGAGTTCAAAATGACTGCAGTTCTGAAAGAAAAATAACCCCAACCGCAAACTTGAAGGTTCCTGTGCTGGAAGAAGACTGCCAGGAGATTTCTTCAAATAATCAAGAATCTGTTCAGACAATTCACTGTTGTAATAACTCACAGGGTGGTTAGTGACCTCTGTTTTCATTATTACTCAAAGTAAGTTCAAATGATGCATTACCTGAACAGGCAATGAATCTTCTGAGGAAACATTTGCTGGTTTAGGTAGTGGCTTCCCTTTTATTTTACATTCCTTTTTAAATACTTTCACTGTTTCTTGAAATCCAGCAAAATCCAAATACTGTGAGATAAAAACATAGAGGAACAATATTTGTTAGATGATTAATGCTTCAGTAAGTGATCAATCCTCTTTTTAGGTGATTAATGCTTCAATGAATGGCCCATGAAATCCCAAAGTTTCTCTGCAGGATGGTTCACAAATGTCAAAGACTGCAAAGTGATAAACCAAGAAACTGATACCTCGTGGTAGGAAAATACCGTCTCTCCATTTCTTCCTGCATCCTAGAGACAACTGAGTACACCACCCCTGAAAGAATGATGCCTCTTGGTTTAGCCAGTAATTTCGTTCAAGCAAAGGAGAAAATTTACTGCTGGCATTTAATGGACATTGAGCCTTTTGAACTGACAGCGCATGACAGGAGTCAGCACAATTTCAGAGTGTAGCAACACTTAGCCAGATAAATAACTCCAGAATTCAGGCCTCAGTTACAATGCCTGGCTCTGAATGCAAACTCTGAGAAATCTTGCCTTGCAAGAATCATTTAAAAAAAAAAAAAAAAAGAAGAAGAAAAGAAATAAAGAGAGAAAACCAACCTCTTTCACTAGTCCAAGCAACTCAGCTTCATACGCTAAAACATCACCCATTGCTAAGGGCTGCTGCTACTTCTCATCGCTGATAAAGCCTGAAAATGATAAAGAAGGGGGTGTTAGTGCAGAGCACAGGGCTCACACAGCGCAGCCCATCAGCCACAGCATCTCCACAGGGTACGAGGAGAGACACAGACAGACAGACAGACTCACAGACACACACAGGCACACACGGTCTACCTGCCCCACATCCCACTGCCTCACATCCTTCCTGTCCCAGTCCCTCCTGCTCCACATTCTGCCTTGTCCCAAACCCCCAATTTCCCCTGTCCCAATCCCCCCTATCCCCCACTCCCACCCGCCCCAGGCCCCCCTAGGTGTCCCAATCCCTCTTGTCCCCCATTCCCCCTGTCCCCCATTCCCACCTGTCCCAATGTCCCCTCAGCCGCCGCCGGTGTCGCCCCGGCAACCGCGGCCCCGCCCCCGCCTCGCGTCCCGCTCACGTGACCGCTCTCAGCCAATCGTCACCCGGGACCGGCGCGTCACGCGGCGGGGCCGTGCCCGCGGCGGCGGGGCGGACAGCGCCGCCTGTGGCGCGGCGGTCGCGGCTGCAGCGGCGGATGCCGCGGCCTGAGGGGGCTGCGGGGTCGGTTCGGGTTCTGAAATGATGAGCGGCTTCATCCGAGGCTCTCGTGCCGCCGCTCCGCCCTAGGCAGGGAAAAGCCTTCCCGCTTGGAAGTTTCTTTTGAAAGAGATGTCGGGCGAGGAGGGCAGAGCTTTGCGGGGAGCGAGCGGGGCGGGAGGAGGCTGGAGCCCGGCCTTGGCACGGTGGGATGAGCCGTGCCAGGGCCGCACTGTCCAACAAGTCCTTGCCTGATGGAAGCCCCGCCAAAGCAAAGGGGAGGATTGGCCAAGCCCCCTATCGAGTCTTTTTCCCTTTTCAATTAACAGTGCTAATGAACTTTTCGGTGGGTGCACGGCAATAGCAGAACAGAGAGCTCCATCGTCAGGAGAAACATCCCCAGTCCCAGCGAGCCTCACTGTCCCCATCACAGCAGCACAGCTTTGGTGCTGCCACCAGCACAGACCAATGGCCGCCTCTCCAGCCACTCAGGAGCAAACTGCAGAACCTCCAGGCCTGCAAGAGAAACAAGCATAAGCTTTCTTCACTGAAAGAGCCCATGAACTCTGCTGTCCAATGCAGATGTTTCCAGCAAATTATTTTCAGCTGCTTCTTGCCCACCCCTGAACACCAGCTTTCATGCTTAAGCTAAAAATAAAAAAGACCTTGATGTGAGGTTAAATTAAACAGAGAATTTGCCCAGCCCTGCCCTGCAGGAGCTATCTCAGTTCCTCCTCTGGGAGGGCATGGTGGGGAGACAAAAAGTTAATCCATTTTGGTTCTCATTGACACAGAATGGAAAAAAACAATTAAATGGGAGAGCCACCTAAAACTGAGAACAAAGACACTGCACCAATATTTCAGGCCCTTTTTCCTTTACTCTGAAGGGGAAAAATTTGTTCCACGCTTCATCCCTTGCAGGTTATCTTGGGAGGAACAATGTCCCCATAATTTCTGCTGACAATTAACCTTGCCTGTGCAGCCATTCTTCCCTGGGTCACCAGAGCAGCTATTTATACCCTTGGCCAAGGATGCTATTGCCACCAAACCACTGTCCTTCCCCTTGGCCAACCCTGCCCTAAGGCAGTGGGCAGTGAGCCCAGGGTGTCCCCCCACGCACTCTGCCCTGCTCCCCAGGACCTGCTGCACCTGGACCCTTTACTGTGTAGACCCTCCTGTGCCCATTTTCTGCTCATGCTCTGCAAACACAAAGAAAAAAACCCAGACATACACATTGCTGAACCAAATCCTGTCAGGCAGCAGGGCCCACCAGAATAAGTGCACTAGGCAGAGATGTCTGGGATTATGGTCCTGAGTCACCTCTCTGTGGGTAACAGTGATTCTCCAGTGGCAGAGACACTGATGGCTCACCTGAGCACCTGCACAGGTATTTCCTCTAAGCAAAACCCAGAGCTTCAGCTGTGCAACCAATGCCAGGAGCTGGAGTATGGAGCTCAAAACAAAACTCCAGATCCAGGGTGCTGCGAGCTGGAACATTTGCCCACACAGAACAGGATTTCAGAAGCCAAGTCAAGCCAGTTCCAGAGGCTGGGACAGCATCTCCTCCCAAGACATGGACATGGGCCAGGCTAATCCCAGAAGAGCTGGAGAAACACATTGAACCAGGTCTGCCCAAGCAGTTACTTTCACTGAGAGACCAAAGACCATTGGTTCCACATAAAACCACCCTGGGCATAGATCAGCACCCTTGGTTAAAGGCCTTCAGGCCCACTGCCCCCCATTCCCCGTCCCTCATTCCCACGCGTCCAATTCCTCCCCGTCCCTCATTCCCAGGTGTCCCAATGCCCCTGTCCCCCATTCCCACCTGCCCCCCAATCGCCTCGTCGCCCATTCCCACCAGTCCCATTCCCCCTGTCACCCTGGGCATAGATCAGCACCCTTGGTTAAAGGCCTTCAGGCCCATTAGTCACATCAGAGGTTACAAGCAAACCATACAAGCCTTGCGGAGTCCTGACATGTCCATGATTACCAACTCTTCCATCCTGCCACTGCTGCAGGCTCACGGTGGCCCCAGAGCTGGGCTGAAAACCCAACCCCTCACCAATGCCAAGAGCAGCAAGCAAGGGGAGAGCCTGGGGCTGGCTGGCATCTGGCAGGGGTGAGGGTGGAGCGTGCTTCAGCCGCCAGGATGCAGGAGATAAATGGCCAACATCATCATCATTATCAGCAGTGTCCACCCTTCACTCTGAAAGGCAAGGAGGAAAAGCTTTGCCTGGCCCTGGGAGGAAGGGGAGAGATAAGGAGGGTGATGGGGAGAGGTGAGGATGAGGCCACTGAATGCCTGCAGGGGAGGAATAGCAATGCTGGGGGGCTTAGGGCTCTCAGGCCCCTCCTTGAAGACCTCTTGCCTTGGGAGCTTTACCTCCAACATGTCCATAGCCACTTCAGACCCAGCAGGGTGCCAAGCAGGGGGCTTGCACCAGAGTTAAGGAGGGGAAAAGGGAGGCTAAGGAAATGTCCAGGGCCTCCTGGAGGGACTCTGGGATCTGTCAGAGCAGCATGCTTTAGAAGTGATTTAATTTGCACAAGGGTTAATTGAGATGAAAACCCATTAGTCAGGAGGGGTAGAAGCTTCCTGTCACCCCCGCCTCTCCCTCTGGCAAAGTCAGGAGTATTTAGGTCCAATTAGCCCCTGACAAACAATCAGGGTGGGTCCCTCTGCAGCATCCCCAGACAGGCCCAGGAGAGCAGCACTTCCTCAGCACTAATGAGTCACTGAAACAAATGGCATTATTCAAAGCACTGAGCCAGTCCCGCTGTTACTGGATTAATTTGCCTGAGATAAAGTGATCACACAGGTTTCCAGAGCCTTCTCAGAGGTTTTCTAGCACCTTTCCAGAAGACTTCTGGACATTTCCTGGCCATTTAATGGATGTTTTTCTAGTCTTTCTGGAGGTCTCCTCTTGTATCTCCAGAACATTCCTAGACTCTTCCTAGAGGTTTACTAGAACCCTTTTAGGGCTGTATAAGCCTCTTCTAACACTCACAGGCTGGCCATTTCCAAATTTCCCAAGTGGCATCCTGGAAATTGAGCAAAGCTCAGCACCTCATTCAAGCACTAAGTGACCTCAAGTGGTCACAGAGCAGCACCCTCAGCAGCCTGATTAGTAAATTAAGGAATTATGTAGAGATTAAAAAAAATAAAATTGCATGTATAGGATCATTCTATAGTCTGGACATGTTTTGTAACACAAACTTTCAAAAGCACTCTGTAGGAGCATTTCTAGTCCTGTCTGGAGTCTTTTGAGCACTGTCCTGTGAGGAATCAGCCTCAGCTACACACGTGTCTCATGAGACACAGAGCAGCATCTTCCTGTCCCAGGTGGAGAAAACAGCAGCTGGGGGAGAAAGCCAAAACAGTGGATGTTTTTCTATGAGTGTTCTCAATCCTTTACACAGTGAAGAGAAAAAACCCACAATGAGTGGCAAGACAGGGAAGTGAGGACAGGCCAATTCCCAGTTCCCTCCTGGTGTCTCCAGCCTGGCACACATGGCCCTTTTCTTCCAGTCACCAAAATCTCCTCTAAAAATCTGTGTGTGTAACCTTACCTTGTAGCCCCAGAATAGCAGCTCAGAAATCAGTTTGGGACTGAGGTTTTACATTTGCTTGTGCTAAGGGAGCTCTACGGAAACATCACTGTCAGAGGCAGTAGGGATCTTACAGGCACAAGAGATTAATGTAGCACAAGAATCAGGAGTCCTCCATGGTGCCCCAGGCTGTACCCTGTGGCTTGGTGGGAGCTGCTCTGCACATACAGATTTACATAGCCTCACTGAGGACCTGCAGCAAGCATCAGGTATGTTTTGATTACCCTGAAAAATCTGTTGCAATTAGAAAAGTGTGGCCAAAAGTCCCATGAAAAGCAGCAGTGTTCACAGCTTGGCCAAAGCGCCAATGCAGGACTTTAGGTCCTTCTGAGCCAGCTGTTTCCAGCATTTCTACTTGGACTTTAGAAATGCTCTAGCAATATCTGGCCTCTGTCAGGCTGCTGAACAGCCTGGAATGAGGGGTCTTCTCCTCCCAGTCTTTCCCTCTCCACAGTGTTTTACAACACAAGGCATTACTACACAAATTACCCGAAGAAACACCGCACACCATTATTGGTTGGCATTATAAGAACATGCTGGAGTAAAGGATACAGGTATCCATTCAAAGGGAAGGAATTGCAGCACCAGAAGACTCACCAAGTAGATTTGTCCACTTCTGTTTGTTGCACCACAATACCAGGTCTTTGACCATGGGATTGGAGCAGTGGTTCCCTCTTTGTTTGACAATAACACTGTCTGTAGCCATTTCAGGTTCATTCTTGGTTCCACTCCATTGGAGAACAGATCTGGATGATGCTGAGAACTGCAAGCTCTAACCAGTAACCTGAGACATTTCAACTTGAGGGACTTCTGCCTGAAGCCGAGGACTCAAAACTGGTGTTCAGTCCCACACCTCTGCTCAGTAGTCCTTAGCTTTGCAGAGGACAAAGGCAGACTATCCCATTGCTATAGTAGCATTCAAAAAAATAAACCATCTGCCAGAGAAGCTCCCAAGCACTACATGCAAGATTTATCTTCCATTATTACCAATGCACATGAGATGGTGGTATGTTCACATGGATAAAATACTCTCCCTACACACAGATACAATAAAAACTTCATTGCACGTATGTGCTGTTTCCAACGATGGAGCTTCACCCAGCATTTGCTGGCAGGAGACCAGGGCTGCAGTCTCTGGCTTGCTGCTGAGACACCCTTTGAAGTGTTACAGCCCTAAAGGTGAAGGGCCAGCTGGATAGTGAATGGTGGAGCACCATTCCTTCCTTCTAACTGTTCCTCATTCCATATCCCTGACTATAATTTCCCCTTAGCTAATGATACACATCAGTGTGACAAGTTACATGCCTGGTCCACTCCATCTAGGCCTGCAATGTAACCTGCTCATATCAGCTATTTTGCACATATTTGGTGAAAGCAGTGAAAGCACACACACAAAAGAAAATGGTTTCTGTGAAACAAGGAGAAACGTGCCCCTGTTTGCCCATCAGTAATACCCAGAGCCCTTTTGTCAGCCCCACACCATCACATGAATACCAGGATAAGTGAGGGGGAAGATCACAGAGGGAATCTGGAAGCAGACCTCATCAGTGCAGCTGCTGGCAAGCAGAGACCTGCCTTCTGTGGCATCAGTGCTATGGCTGGGCCAGGCTGCAGTTGAGACCCTGCCCAGCCTCAACAAGTGCAGAGGTGTGCACAGATCCAAATGATTGTATAGAGGAGCAGTCAAACAAGCTCTGCTGGACAAGGATCCACAACTTGAGTTTAGTTTTTAACATTTGGGGAGAGCAAAAGTTGTTAGCTTCTTTTTTTTTAAGCCATTTTTATGTCAAGAGTTTTTAATATATTTATTTGAAAACAAGGTTTTGTGAAAGAGTACACTAAATAGCATATATCTGTTCTTCAGTCATAAAACACAGACTATCAGCTTCAGCTCAGCACAGATTGGGGCTGCATGCACTGAACATCAGATCTCAATAGGAAGGTCTTCATGCCTGTCTTTCTGATATCAAGCATAGTGTCTTCTTCAGATGACATGACCCTGGAGGAGGGAGAGAGAGAAACCAGAAAATCAAATGCATTTAATTAAGGCTTCATCTGGTTGACCCCACACACTCACCCAAGCCTGTCACTGACACAACATTTATAGTTTTTAGCAAGGAGTTTGTTTTCCTGCCCATCCACCAATTCAAGACCATAATCTCTGTTCGTGGGAGTCCTGAGACATGCCAGCCTATATTTGGAAATAAAGCAACTGGATTTCTGCCTCTCTTTGAGAAACTTGCACATCCATTCAGGCAGTTTAACCAAGGAACATGAGAACTGCACCATTTATTGCCTGAAACAGATCTACTACTAGCATTCAGTGGCCATGACTGAAGTGCCTTTAAATTCTGCTAAGAACTGCTGGGAAGACATGGCAACTCCAGGAAGCAGAACAGTAGTTCTGTTTTGACAAATCCTGGCACCCTGAGGTCAAGTAGATGACAGCTTTGTTATATAAACTACTTGCCCCTCTGGGACCATCTTTCAGGAGCTGACTAGTTCCTGTGATCCCTGCACTGCTCTCTGCCCAGCCAGGCTCTACTCAAGAGCAGTTAAGCCTGCCAGATTAGAGAGCAGATCCAGTACAACAGGGTCAGGCCTGACCAAAAAGAATGAACTTGTGGACTTCTAAGCTGCCAAACTCTTAAAATTGGGACAGAGCTTTTTTCTAAATCTGCCACAGAAGCTGTCAAAGAGCTAAACCAAGAGTGCTGAGTGCTGGCAACTGCTTCTGTTGGTACAAAGAGGCTTTTCCTTCACTGGGATTGAAAAAGGCGACTCTGCACACTACACTGTACCTCAGGCCTTAATCATCAATGTACTCAAAGGGCTCTGGAGGTTCAGGTTCTTGCTCTTCTTCCTCAATCTTCGGACCATGAGCTGCCACAGGTTCAACCAGCTCCTCCATATCCTCACTGGTGTCCTTCAGGATGATGATGCCTCCAATGGAAAGCTGCAAAACAAGTGCCATGAGCATTTAGAGCTGCTTGCCTCTGCCTCATGGTGGAGTGTTTGTGGCCACAGAGTCTATCCTAGGCCATGAGAGACTCCTCAGCAGGAGTGAGTTTCAGAGAGCAAAGCATCTGACACTCACCTGGATCTCTGCCTGGTAAGGACATGGAACAGGCAGAGTCTATCCAGGCTACTTTTTATATTTCTTCTATCTAGGTCTCGGTTCAATAGAAGTGACATCTGGATTCAAAGCTTTACCCCATTCCCAGGCTGGGGCTTTCCACATGAAAACTAACTGAACTGTAATAGCTTTATAAGGCTCATCTTTTCAGGTTTACAATACTTAGTGAGACTCTCTGTGTAGCTGTGTCCCAGGAGATTCTCTGAAACAGAGACTAATCTGATCACTAGTTTCCACAGAGTGAGGAATCCAATTAGCAGAACCTCACAAAAACAAAGGGGAATTAATTACAAAGATCACAACCAAACATGCTGGCAGCACCTCTGGGAGTGAAACACAAGGCGCAAAGAGGCAGTGCTGTGTCACGCCTGGCTGGGATCAGGGCTTTGGCCACAGCAGGATTCTGGGCTATAAACAGCATTTCAAAGAGGTCTTTTACTCTGGCAATCCCCAAAGCAGAGCAAAGGTCCAGAACGGCTCCATTCCAAGAGGCTCCTTGGTTACACACCCTAATCCCAGCAAAACTGCACTGTTCTGTTCTCTTCAAAACCAGTTTATGGGGCTTTAAGGCAGGAAACAGCTCCCCCACCAAGGACTCTGCTTCTTTTGAAATTTAAGCTAACAGACACATTTCAGTTAGTGGACACTTATTGGAACACACAGCAGATCTTCCCAATCCAAACAGCAGTTGGGTCACCTTGTTTAAAGGGTAGAAACTAAAAAACCCTTCCACTGCTTTGCTCAAGGAGATGTTTCAAAAGGGAACAGCAAACAGAGAATTCCAATGTGCTGATGGAATTCCAGGAAATCCATTTATTAAAAACATCACTATTTTCCAGGAAAAAGTATTACTACTACTGAACACCATTTTCCCATGCGTAATCCTGGAAATGGGGTTAAGTCAAGCATGTTATTTCTTGAAAAAAATAAAGGGCAGAAGACTTTGACTCAGGAGATTTAGCATTCAGGAGCCAGCTTATCAGATTTGTAATATATCTGAGCATCTCACAGAGAAGTTAGTTACCCCTTGGGCTGAGTGCTAAAGGGCCTTCTTCATACTCCATCTGACAATCACATGCTCTCTCTTCTCTATGTTTACAGGAGCTGAAGGAACTTTTCTAAAGCCAGATGTAACTCAATAGGAAGTATGTTCAATGAAAAAAGCCCTCCATGTAGGTATAAATCCCACTGCAGAGTAATAAAGCTCCAGCACAAGTCCTAATGTATTTCACTGCTTTGACACTGAACCTAGACAACTTCTCAGCCTATTTTAAAGATCATGGTTCAGTCTTTATGTTTCCAGCAATGTCATTAATACACAGAGTATGTCTGATTGATTTTCATGCTGGACATTTGACACAGGTACAAGAAGAAGGAAAAACAAAGCAGCATTAGCACAGTGAAAAGGCTTGCAGCAGCTCTGACTTTCCCCCAGCTAGAACCGTCTGTGACCATTTGCAGAGAGGGACATTAAAAAAGGAAATATGACAGCAGCAAAGCTGCAAATCTCTGCAACACATTCCAATGCTGCACCAGCTGTGAGTTCTCATGTACACACAGAACTTCTGGGCCTTACACACAAGCCCAGCACTGGGAATGCTCACCAAGCACATGGACTGGGAAGGTGACACTTACTGGTTTGAAAGGCTGGTACCGGCAGCTCTCTGTCATAGTGAGAACTTTGAGCTGAGCAGGCATGACTCTGGCTGGGTTGTCCAAAAGCTGGAAGTTTGGTTCAGGCTCTTTTTTCTTTTCTTTTTCATCCTTCTTTTCATTCTCATCCTGTGGAGTGAGAAGAGATCAACCTGATTTCAGCAGTAACCTCTAACCTTTCACAGTTTAGCAAGGTAAGGTACAGTCAAGAGCAATTCCACAGTGTGGTGAGAAACCATTCTTTTGCTGAGGAACATGGTAATATTTATCTATCAGCTGGCACAGAAAATGCCAGCATGGATCTAAGTGCTCTTGACAGGGCAATGCCTCACTCTCAGCTGCAGATGAAAGCAAGTTCAGCGAGAGGTAGCAGTGGAACAGTTTAACCTCTGCTTTCCCTTTCTCCTACCTTTTCTGTAAATTCAGTCATCACTTTTTGTCACAACTGAAGATTCTTTAATATCATTACTGAGCATATGAAAATTTTCAAAAGCTGCCCTTGTATTTTTGCAGCTGTGAAGCCGTCACTGACATTTCACAGTACTGGCAGTGACAGCAGCTCACCCAAAATGACTCGACCTCAGCAACTCGTTAAGGAATTACAGTGAATCCCTCCCTTATCAATGACTCAGCAGCTAGAGAGAAAAGCAGAAGGAAAAAACCCAGTATCCTTTACATACCTCAAAAGGTGGGTAATTTTTCCCCTCTTGCTCAGACAGGTGGCCAAGAAAGTCAATGGCATTGTGGCTTGTGTCAGCAGTAGTGTGGACAGCAGGACCAGGGCAGTGACTGTCCCCTGTACTTGGGACTGGTGAGGTCACACCTTGAACCCTGTGCTCAGTTTTGGGCCCCTCCCTACAAGACAGACATTGAGGTGCTGGAGCATGTCCAGAAAAGGGCAACAGAACTGGGGAAGGGTCTGGAGCAGAAGTCCTGTGAGGAACAACTGAGGGAGCTGGCGGGGCTCATCCTGAAGAAAAGAAGGCTCAATGGGGACCTTATCACTCTCTACAACTCCCTGACAGGGGGTCATTCTCCCAGGTAACAAGACACAGGACAAGAAGAAATTACTTCAGGTTGTGCCAGGGGAGGTTTAGGTTGGATATTAATAAAAATTTCTTCTTCAAAAAGGTTGTCAAGCACTTGAAGAGGCTGCCCAAGGGAGTGGTGGAGTCACCATCTCTGGTGGTATTTAAAAGATGTGTAGATATGACTCTTGGGGACATGGTTTGGTGGTAACCTTGTCATTTCTGGGGTTAAGTTGGACTTAGAGGTCTTTCAAACTTAAAGAATTCTATGGGTCCACAATGCACTTTCAGCTTACAGTTGTTCTTGGAATATTTCCATTTATGAACAGGGCACAAAAGAAAGTACTTTTGTCAGTACTACAAGAATTTTAGCTGCCATATGTTTTCCAAATTACAGCAACCACCAAAAATTAATTTCTTCATTACTCAGTTTGCTCCAGGATGACACATTACTCACAGATGAGGATGACAGCTTCCAGTGTCAGGTCTATGAGCTGGAAGAAATCATCACAAGACCAAAGCAATCACCATAACTACTGAGCAGCATATGGAATCTGTGCTCAAACCTCAGCTGGTTCTGAGCTGGGTGTGGATAAATGTTTGGCATTTTGATAGATGGGCAAAGCACGTAAGAGACTGCTGCCAAAAAGGTGAACATTTCAGAATAGGAGGTTAAGCATGTGAAAACCAGAATGTTTAAACTCTTCAGTGCTCTCAAGGTGAATGAGACACTATCAAGCAACTGCTACAACACTTCTTTATAAAAGGTCAGAGGTCCCAAGGACATTAAATTACTAAGCCTTTTCTGCATTAGTAAGAAAATTACTTGGA